AAGTGATCGAGTCAAACAAATCCGATGCATTCCATATCTAATGCAAGAGCCAAATTCAACACAAAAATCAAGTACCTAGATAATAGTTGTACAAGTAACAAAAGAAAAACACCAATTTGCAGGCCAATGCCACCTTGTCCACTCAGTCCATCACCCCCACCAGCCTCTTCAGTATATACATACAAGCCGAGTAGACAAACCGCAGCACAAAAGCCCAAAGCAAAAGATCAGCATAAATCTACCAACCCTGTGCCTGCATACGCTGAATCTTCTTCACAGTCCCCTGGAACGAGAACTTAAACAACTTCTTCCACCGCTGCATCTTCTTCTGCTTTTGCACCATACCCCTTCTCACATGGAACTTCTGTTCAGCAGCATCAGCCCTAACGCGATTCTGCGAAAGAGTAGCCTGAAGCCTGCGCAGCGCACCACCGAGATCAGTACCACGCTCAGGCTCAACATGAGCCTGACGGCCAAGCGTCGGTCCAAGCTTGAGCTCGACCTTGCGTGCAGGCAGAGGTGCTCTCGAGCGTGCCCGGTAGCTGCTCTGCGCGCCTTCACCGACAGCTCGGGAAAGTGAGTCCGAGAAGATGCGGCGCTGGGCGCTGGTTGCTTCTCGAGGCTTGCTGAGGTCAAGTCTGCTGAGGATGTCGTCGAAGTCGGAGACTGGCTTGCGGGCTGGCTTTGCAGCTTCGGGGGCGGCTGTGCTTGGCTTGTTGGCGTCGGAGGTCGGCTTTTGGGTTTGTTGAGCGGCCTCGGGGACTGTGCTTGGCTGGTCGGTGGGTGATGTGGGTTTGAAGGGTGTGTTTGGTGATGAGGTGGAGGAATTGTAGCGCACTCCGTTCGCGAGGGAGGCGACGCGGTGGAGCTGGGTCTGCTGTTGGAGCCATGGTGTTGGCCTGGCGCGGAGGCTGCGGGCTAGGAGGCGGAAGTCCATTTTGATTGGACTCGCTCGTGTCAGAGCAGCAGGTCTATGAGGATGTACTGGACTGTCTCCTGCGCTTGGAAAGGAAAGATTGCTCGAGGTGGGCACGTAGGGTCGGAGGTGCTCGAAGTTGCCGTGACGGAAAATCATCGCCTCCCAATTGGAAAGGAAATTGTAGGTCACGTGCCGCATGGGTTTGGGGTCATTTTCTAGAGATCGGAAATATCACACCTGCAAATCTTTGATCTTTCAAATATCTCTATCGTTTCACGTTGAATAGCTCCATTGACATAAAAGGTTCACAAAATTCCACCAAAAACAGAAATGTCATCCATCTCAATCGCAACTCTCCCCCGCATGGGCCGTGATGTTCTAGCGGCCCTGCTTTCAACCGGTGAACCAAGTAATCTAGCTATCGTCGACGTCCGGGACTCAGGTAGACAACTATTCTTTCACTATATAATCAAATACTATCAACTGACATTTTAAACAGACCACGTTGGTGGCCATATCCACTCCTCAACTTGGGTCCCCAGCTCAACGCTGGACGTGCGCATGCCTGAGCTTATTCGCACCCTCAAAGACAAGAAAACAGTTGTATTCCATTGTGCACTCAGTCAGCAACGTGGACCCTCTGCTGCTCTTCGCTATGCGCGTGAGCGTGAGAGCACCCTCGGTGCGGAAGAGAACAAGGAGCAGCAAGTATTTGTGCTCGAGGGTGGGTTTGTGGAATGGCAGCAGAAGTATGGAAATGATACTAAGCTGACTGAGGCTTATGCTGCGGATATCTGGGAGGAATATTGATCTGCCTTGAGATTATGGGGGTTCCGGTCACTTTATGCATCTGCTTTTTGTTTTCATGAGATTTAACGAACTTGGATGGGAGAGATACCACTCAGATGCATTTATGGGTTTCATTTTTTATTCTTTTATTATTCTGGTTGATTTTTTCTGTATGTAGGAGGGATCCATGTTATTTTGATGAAAGATGAAATTATTGTACATGAAATGAGCAGCCCACGCTCCGAGTCTATTGAAACATAAGACAAATATACTTACTTGGGGCTCTACATTTGAATGCCGCCTCCAAAACCGACAGGTCGTCTCTGTCCTCCATTTTCAGGTACAATGGTCATTACCTTGTAGATCTGTCCCATTGACCCGCCGCTCTTCTCAACCAATCGCTTCCAGGCTGTCTCTAGTGTCTTTTTGTGCTCTTCATCTTGCACCTTACGGAGCAGCTGTCGCATGCGCTCCTCAATACCCATGGCCCCGAGGAAGTCGCCCTGTTCAACAGGACCGTGGACCTCGACACCATCACTGCCCTCGAGGGCCGCTTCAGCCAGCGAAGTGAAATCCACATCCGCACTGACATCTACTCGGCCCGGCTCTGAGAGTGGTGCTACTTTCTCGTGGCTTTTGATTCCGCGCAGCGAATTGATAGGGATAGTTGACAATGTCCCATAGTCCATGATCAGGGCTGCGCCAGACGGAGTCTTCTTCTGTGATGACGGGGGTGGGCTAGAAGCGGAGGTCTTTTTAGCAGCAAGCCCAGAAGCAGAGTCACCACCGATACGGCGTGCAAAGTCTGCAGCATAGATTCGGCTCTCAGGGCTGATCTCGATGGTCGAGCCTGGCCGCGACTTAAGTGCTCGGTAACGCTGAGAGATCTCCGGGATCACTAGCGATGACGGCGTGGAAGCTTTGGCTTTGGTCAATTGGAACTCGGGCTCTCCTTTTATGTTCTCTTCGACGGCTTTTGGATTTAATGTCACCATTAACTCACGCCATTGCGGGGTGTTCACGGGTTTGGGCGGAGTGTGTAGTTCTGCTGGGCCGGTGGGAGTCATGATCTTTCGTGGCTCGTTGGCCTGCTGGTTCTCTGGGGATGGCGGAACAGATTCGAATGCATGGATTGGGAGTGCGTCGAAGAATTCATGTGCGAAGATGAAAGGTGTCTTGCCTTCCTCTATATCGCCGATGTCATTGGTCAGCATCAGACAAACGGGCTGCTGATTTAAAATCTTCACTCACCATGTGGCAGAAGGCGAATATCCTCCACCCAGACGATAGGCACATCAAAGTACTTGCACACACTCCGGTGTCCGATATCCGTCTCCTCCATTACAGCCTCCTCGCCGCACAGCAGCTGCTTCTGAACTTCTCTGAGGGTTCCACTAGCTTCCACAAGGTAAATAGCTTCAACACTTGAAGAAAAGCTCTTGAAATTTCGGAAAGTCTGTTGGTTATAGAAATGGTGGTCAGTCCAATGACCTTCTTGTCTCTTTTTCATAAAAGGAAGACAGGCATAAATACAACCACTTACCCGCAGCATATCATCCATCAAAGTTCCTTTCCCTGGGCCAACCTCCATCAGCTGAACACCACTTCTCGTCCGTCCCTGCGCCATCCACTCCGCGATAGTCCATATCCCGATCAACTCTCCAAAGACCTGCGAGATCTCGGGCGAGGTGACGAAATCACCATTTTTGCCGAATACACCTCCACCCTCCCCTCGAGTTGTATAATATCCACCATCAGGCGATGTCAGAACCTGGCGCATGAACGCCGCGATTGGCACGGGGCCAGTGACCTAATTTCCAGAAGTGAATGATTAGCAAAAATACAGAGGCAAAGCAGAGTGCATAACTACCTTCATGACATTGGCCAATGTTTTTGCCAGCGGCGTGGACCATTCTCTCTGTTCAAACGTGGAGTTCCATCTTCCTGGGCATCTTGGAAGTACTGTGTTGCGAGGTCTGCGGAGGATGTGCGACGCCACGCGCCTGGTGGCTTGGTTCATTCTTGCCTCAGAGCTGAGTGACAGTAATCGTTTGTATCGTTGGATATGCAATAATGGAACTTTTCGCGGTGAGGAAACACAATGTCCGGGCCCCAAATGCGTTCTATTGCATTGCGCCAAGTCGAGATGTTTCTCAATCTCTCCGCGGAAGCTCCGCTACACGTGATCATACCTTATCGGATAGTTATCAGCCGCTAGTCCTAGGATGGTATAGTCGGCAATCCAAAGCCCTAACTAAAGTCTTAAAATTACTCCATGCCATTATAGTCGGCTGCTTATACGGCCTTGTCATGGCTTTTTAGTAGTCTTCTTATATAGTCTTTTTCGATGTCTTTTTCGATGTTCTTTAAATATCTATCTATCTAGGTGTTCGTAGTCATTGGCTACTGTCTATATCCCAGTCTTTTCTTCGTATTTAACGAGCTTCAAACTTGCTTTTTTTTATTATTCACATCGTGTAGAGACTTCTCAATTTATTAAGCTGATGCTTTATCTCATCAAAGGGACCTTTTCCTGAAATCCGAGGCCTATAGTCATGAGAGAAATGTGCATTTAAATATCCCATAATCGCGGGCGAGCAAGATGTCCATTTGTAGGGAATAACAAAGTCCAACATGACTAGTTAGTGTAAATCACTAATAACTAACATAGGGTCCCCCGATCCATAAAAAGCTTCCCCAACATAAGTACCTGCCTGTAATGGCAGAGCAAACTGTACCATGTAGTTGTCTGTGTCACGAAATGGGGTGGGATTCCATATAGTGACGATACCACAACTCTTAACAGCCTCGTGAAAAGTGGATCGTTTGTGATCCAGCCATCGCTCCAAATGCCAAACCAATCCGCCACACCTTTGTACTGTCTCTTGTAGATGGGAGCGTATGTTTTCGGAGCAGTATTTCTTGTTACCTGAGTGCAACATTGATTGTCGATGATATTGTCTAGACAATGTCAGTACACAGTCCGTTTGTTTGGGATACATGGGGTTTGTACTTTGACTACCATAGAGGCAGCTATCCCCTTTGCAATAAATATCGCTATGGTAGGACGGCCAGCTGGCAGTGAGCTCACAGCCAGGCTGGATATTCTCGTGTGCCGAACTGCTGCCATCAACCTGCGCATATATCTTCACTGTATTGGTGTCTGGATTGGAGCGTGTGGCGGCTTTATTTTTTATAGGTTAGCTTGTGCTTCCTGGGTTATAGAGGTTGTAACACTAGTGTAAACTCACTCTGAGTCCAGCTGCGGCATAGTACTTGGCCATCCACGGAGATGCAGCCGACATCTTTGTTCTGCAATCTGTGTCTGATTTATGTTAGTGTAGGTCAAACTTTGGAGACAACCCTATAAATAGAACTCCATCTGCTCTAGTGTGTTAATGGATATATCAGGCGTAGGCACTGCTGAGCTTGTGGTGTTTGATGGCGTAGAAAAGGGTCTGGAGCTGGAGCTTCTGGTTGTGGTTGACAAAGGGGATGCAGAGCTCCTAGCACTCCGCGTGGCTGATGTTGACGAGGTATAATGAGGAGACACCAATGTACCGCTGTGACTAGAAACACCTGCGATTTCAGACGAGCAAGAGTGTCCCCGGTTGGCGCTGCTCGGCAAACTAGTTGAAAAAGTGTGCTCGGGCGGGTTTTGCTTAATGAACCCCGTAAGAGGATACTATAAGCAAATAGACAAGCAGAGACTTGCATTTTTTTGATTTCTTTTTTTGAACCAGAAAGGAGGATGATATTGAAAGAATAGGTAAACAGCGAGTTCCACCTACGCACCTGGGCACCTGCCCACTTTCCCGATACGGAGCAAAAACCTACCCAATACACGATACAATATCTAAAAGGTCTACCGACGTCTAAATATTCTAGTACAATAATTCACGGCATTAAATTCCTTGAAGCAAAACATCGATGTATCTTCACAGTTATCCAATAGCGAGCCCTAACACATACAATAATTACAGTTAGCGGGAGACCCACTTCTTGGCAGGTACATCTATAGATATACCAACGTACGTAGGTTTTTTTATATCCTCCTTTCCCCATACTCGGACTGTTGGTGTTTCAAATTCTGATACAGGCAAAATGAAGTAAGACAGTAGGACCATGAGTACCAATCAGATCCAATAATACCTCATAGCCACTGGTCGCACATACGCGTAAGTAGAATACTTCCTTCGGCTACTCGGTTACTGACATTTGAGATAGACTCATACCATATGATAGCTATGTTGTTGATATGAACCCAATGCTGAACTTCCTTCGTGTTAAAAAGCTTGGGGCCTGCTACTCCCATTATGACTTCTCGGTGCATTGTGTTGTATGGGAGAACAACGCTTTCTAGGGATTCCAAAGCACGGATACCCCAGTGTACGAACCCAGTGCCCTATATTGAGGAGAACGGCGTCCAGGTCTCAAAATACCTACACTCGGGCAAAGTATTGAACCCTACTACCGGACAAAGGGTTCGAGTGTTACCACGTATCTTTGCAATTTATCAAACAAAAGAATAGTGGGCCGCATTTGCGGCTTTATCATGTCTTTTTAGATGGCCCCCTTAACAAGCTCGTTAGATGTTCTCAAATGTTAATGGCTTCGTATATCCACCAGATAGTATTTTACTGATCGTAAGGCGAATTCTCTTTGTGTAAGTGGTGGCCGTAGGGGATTTCAGATGACAGATAAAGAAATAAACCACAGTGTGGTGAGCAGTGTGGTGAGGACAGAGGAAACCAAGCATGAAACAAGACACGCCACACAGTAAATTTCAGTATCAAGTCAATCAAAGAATGGAAAGTTATTCTGTTGTTTCTCACTTCATTGCCGCATACGTCTCAAGAAAGTCATTGGCTGCTATCTATAGAACGGCCTTTTCTTGGGCTTTGAAGAGCTTCGCACGTTTTTCCTTGCTTCACGTTCTACCGTTGCTACCCTCGGCTCAAAACATTTCTTTGTCTTGCTGCTCTCGCTGTCCATCAGCCTCTACTTCGTGTTAAAGTCCACGAGTTTTATCTGTTTGCGCTGAGCTCTTGAGTCTACTGAGTTTGTCTTTGTTTGATAGTAGACGAGAGTTGATGTCTAGAGTTATAAAAGCCGTCTGTTCTTCAAAACCCAATTCTTTTCTTTTCCGGATCCCTCCTCTTAATTGGTATCAATCCACTACATTTTCCAATTCCCTCTTCATCAATAGCTGAGTGAGGTGTTGATTCAAAATGCCCACCACTCGTCAGAAAAGAAAAGCCAGTGAGCCCCTTCTACCTGGTCTCCCCGAAGAAAAGCGACCTAGGAGTAAGAAGAGTTCGGGTTCTACCCCCAGTCGTAAACCCGCTCCAAAAAAAGGGAAAAAGGTATTGCCATCCCCATGTCCCTTATATCATCGAAATTACTTACAAATGATTTGTTGAAACGAAGCGAGATCCAAATCTGCCCTATGTTGCACTTGCAAACGACATCCTTAGGCATGGGGATAGGCTACTCCTTTCTGGACCCCCTGTAGTTGGTCAAATTCTCGAGCCACCGAGAATATGGGGATCTCGTGACGAGCCAATAACCGAACCCGACCAGCTGCCTGAAGGATGGACTCCAAGCGAAACGGATCTAGCTGACGAGTAGGATCAACGTCAACTTTCTCTGTCTATCGAGTCTTTGCTGACGGTTTCGAGTAGTGATGTCGACGGCCAAATTACAAGATGTCTCAGACGCCTCGATGAGAATATCATGCCTGTCATTTTCGAGCGCAGATTGGCAATGTACCAACAGATCAAGAAGAATCAGACGTAAGGAAATCCTATATCACATGTGTACTCTGTTTTTCTCTCATCACAATGACTAACCCACTCTTTTATAGAGACATGATCAACTCCGAGCCTGACGGTCTTAGCTGGGAAGTTGTTCAGCGCCTTCATTCTCTAAAGAGGATCCAAAAGAGTTTCCGTGAGTTGGGAAATGACAATGGGAATACCTCCAACGTGGAAGCCATCATGGCTGCCTACCGTTCCGGGGACCTTGTCTGGGATAGTAATTCAGTCACTTTCTGGGTACATGGAAAATTGATTGGTGGCCCAAGGAAATGGAAAATGGACGAATTTCTCGCTTTTAGTAGGGAGCATGGCTCACTTGGTGTCTGGGTAGAAGGAGTGAGTTAGAATACAAGAAAGATCTGAGTCTCAGTCCCCATTCATACGTAGACTTCTTGTTTTACCAAGTTAGTCCAACGAAGACATTAGGCATATCATCCAATCTATATGCAGCTCTAACGTTGAATTACTAGGTGGACAACTACAAACCAGAACCGATGAACCTGTTCACCACTTTGTCCCCAGCCTTTTCGGGGTACGACTTGCATATGGTAAGACTTCCCAGGTGGAACCCCCCTCCACCTCCTCCCTCCCCCTCCCCCCTCGATAATGAATGCTAATATAAAACAGTTTGTTATATCAATCCGGAATCCTACTACTTGGCGAACAAACACCTGGGCCAATACCATACACATCCCTGTTCTTGAGGATACTGGTGCTTCACAAATGAAGATATTCCAATCCGATCGGCTTACCCTTGAAGGCATGAGTGGCGCTCCCCTGCCTTACACTGGTACAGCAACCTTTAACACAGCAGCTGGTGATATCGAGTCGGATAGTGTAGTATTGCATGTCAACTTGGTCCACAATGGTCAGACTATGCTCCCCCACTGGATTACGGTTCGATCATCTGTAGGCCGTGAAGAAGGTCACGGCCCTACTCCTCCGATGGGTTTCCGGCTGTCTGGTATCTGGGTTCACCATATGCTATATTGTTTGAGTGCGCCTGATAACACTGGGAATATGTACATGGGAACTGACCTCAATGAAATTGTCTCAACTCTACCCCCTTGCGACCTTGATCTCGCAAACCCACCATATGACAGCCCTGATCTCGCAAACCCACCATATCAAATTTGATCAAACTATTCTTCTCAGGAATGTTGGATAATGCATGGGCGGCTGGAGATCGAATTGTTTTGTTTTGTGTCTTTCTTTTTGGTTTATATTGAGCTTGAGTTGAGTCAAGTTGTTGTGCTGTTTGAATGTGAGAGGTGACTCGATATATATATCTCGTGTATCTGAAGTTTTTGAATTTGGGATTGTTGAAGATTATATACTGTTTTCAATGTTATTGCGAGGATTAAATGCCAGACTTAGGTTGATACCTCAAGTTTAACTTCTTCTTTTCTCTCGGCGTAGGAGAACATAAGCAACCAGTGAAGGAGCGACAGGTAATATTGTAGCAGGGCTATGGGTTGATCTGCACGCTGAAGATGAAGAATCTTCAGTAAAACATTAATATTCTATCCAATTGGTCCCGTTCGCCTCTATCTGCTGCAAAAAAAAGTGTGACCCGAATGCTAAAAGAAAATGTCCATAAACTGCTATAACCATATCATACATTTCATGAGAGTGCAAAGAAGAAGCATGATCCCCACGACTATTTCGCACAGTGCATACATACTATGAACTCCTTACGCCAACAATTCGCTAGCCAACCTCAAGTTCTCAAGCTCAAACTTGGATATTCAACGACGCCATTTCCGTTGGTTCTGGCTCTTCTGGGTATTCCGCGCCGGCGCATCGACCATCATTTCATCGCTATAGAGGCCAGTCTGCGAGTCTCCTTGGTTCTCAGATAGCAGGTCGTTCACATGGCCTGGCCCACGACGGGATCGGAGTCGTTCCTGATCAGCTTGTGCTCGGAGGGCAGTGAAAGGATCTTGGTGGGTTGTGGCCCTGGCCGATTTAAGGGTCATTGTAAGAAGTCTCCCATCAGCCTAGAGTGTGTCAGCATCTATCTTACGATATCATTAAATAGGAACGGCATTTACCCTCTGATTGTGGAAATTGGCAACCACCAGCTCTGCAGCCGTCTTCTCCGCATATGCAAATTCCGCAACAACACTTGGCTGGCTTGCTACTATCTGGCAGCTGATCATAGGGCCTGTTATAGGCTCAAGGGCGGACTGGATATCGGCAGCTGTTGTCCCAGGCGCAAAGTTCCTTCCGACGACAATGAATGGGCCCGAGGCACCCTTAATGGTCATGTTGCTGCTACCGGATAGACGGCTGCTCTGTGCGAAGTTGCCGGATCGCGCGTTCAGTTGGCCATTTTCGGGTTGGAAAGCTGCCCGGACCTGATCCACATTCATGCGATCTTTCTTGCCAGATCTGCCGCGTGTTCGATTGTTGTTCGCGGGTGCGGGTGTGGGCTTGTTCTTGTTGGGTTGCACGGTCGCTGACGCGGAGCGCTAAATTTCGACGCGAGAGATTGTCAGATATTTTTCTCCATTGGTGGTCGCATTGATGGTCGTATGGTGGACTTGTTCATACCTTGGCTACTCCGATTCTGCTGGCTAAGCTTCCAGGCTTTGCATTTTGTGCTTTATTCTGCGACTTCTTGCCAGCACCAGCGCCCGAGCCTGGCGCGCTTGACCTGCGGTTCTTTCCAAGGAGTTGGTTTGCGAGGTCCTCGTGCTTCTTCTTTTGACGGTCTGTGGAGGAAAACAGTCAGATCTTGCTAGGTGTCATATCGGGTGGTTGGAGTGATTACCAGCCTGGATGATGGCGTCGAACGAGACGGGCTGTTTGGTCGCCATGGCAGAATGGATATAGATTAGCCAAATTAAGAAAATCAATTAGGAAAAGAAATAAGATAGAATAAGTGAGGAGACGTGACAATTGGCAGTGATGTTTGAAGAAGAAAAGAAGCTCCGGGAGTCGATCAGCTTTGGGGGCGATCAATTCTTATCCACCGCAAACTCCTTGATTATGCATAGCCACATCTATAGTTAGCCATTGACACCAACATTGTTTCTACTTTTCTACATTGTTCTATTGTAGATGTTTCCCTAAATATATATTATAATCTGCCTGGTTAAAAACCAACAGCGTACCTAAACCTGAATGTGAAGGCGAGAGGCACAGAGAATATCTGAAGTAGATTATATACGTGTTGTACAGCGTAAATCAGCACAAAGGCAGACAATAAAACAAAATTTGGTTTTGTTTACTCTTCTAATGTGAATAAAAAGCAATTATCCCAATCGAAGAGTAAATCCAGCCCCTACTTCACCAGTATCTCCACCCGGGGCGCCTCCAAAGACACCCGCAAAGTCCAGCTCGGGTGCTTCCTGGCCCCGTTTAGGAGCCTCAGGCGTATGATGACGTCTCCGCTTCTCCATGCCAGCCTTGGAGGGGAAAGTCGGGAACATCTCTCGCGGTTTGGGCCGTGGATCTTCCTTGAAATATTTGTGATCGAGGCACTGTCTTGCTGTAGGACGGGAGGCCGGATTCAGTGCCAGCAATCCTGACATGAGACCCAAACCAGCATTGGTCAGGTAAGGGAACCGAGAGCGAGGTAGTAGAGGAGGGTTGCCGGCCGAAGAAGGTGCCGATGTCGACGGGAGTCGCAAGCTCTTGGCGTTGGGCAATGAACGGAATCCAGGCCAAGTTTCAGAGTTCGGGGGCCCCGTCAACGCGAAGATCTTGGACACCTGGTCGACTTCATTCTTGCCCTGTAAGAGAGGCTCTTTGGTGAGCAGCTCGCCGAAGATACAGCCAATGCTCCACATGTCGATCTCCGTGCCGTACTTGTCGGAGCCAAGAAGCAGCTCCGGCGCTCGGTACCAGAGTGTCACAACCAGCTGGGTCAGCTTGGGAGGTGGATCGCCGAAGTAGCGGGCCATGCCAAAGTCGGCGATTTTGAGTTCGCCACGGTTGTTCATTAATAGGTTGGAGGTCTTGAGATCGCGATGCATGATCCACTGTGAATGTAGGAACTCAAGTCCTCCAACCACCTGTAGCAAGACGGTTTTGATCTCCGAAGGAAGGAAGGGCTCGCGCATCTCGTCGAGTAGGGCTTTGAGGTCGTGTTCGTGGAAATCCATCACTAGGAATACACTGTTGGAACCAATTGATTAGTATATGTCAGATGTAAATGATATAGTCAATCACGAAGAACCCACTCGTCCATTTTATTGCCCATGACTACTTCTCGTAGGTACACGACGTTTTGATGTCGCGCCTCCAGAAGCGTTTGGATTTCCCGAAGCCCAGTGACTGGGAACCCGTCCGGCGAGTTATCCAGTTTCAGCTTCTTCAGCGCGACAATTTCTCCTGTGGAAATGTCCTTTGCACGTGAAACCCATCCGTATGAGCCCTCCTCAATGTGATTCAATCTTTCGAAGTTATCCACATGCCTGCAGGGGCCCCATTCCCCAACCGGGAAGCGTAGTAAGGTCGACTGGTTTCTCTGTTCCTTCTGGATATTCACCACTTCGACATTGTTTGGATGGACATCGGGGTCGTTGGAGAGTCTTCGTCGTTTTGTCGGGGGGCCTAGCTCCCCATTGGCTTGAGCATCCCGAGCTTGAGCTTTGCTGGCATCTTCCAGTCGCTGTTTTTCCGCTTTAGCGCGTTTTTTCTGTTCTTTGTCGCGTTTTTGTTGCGCGATAATTGCCTCTGTTTCTGGGTCCTCATTTGCCCATCGGGATGACATTTTTCGTAGGGGGACAGTTGAAAGGGAGAGAGCCCTGGGGAGGTTCGGGAATGACGTTTCGTCAGAAGCCGAGTTCCTTCGATTTGAAATCCAACGCCCCCACCTTGAATTTGTATAGCTCATTGCAAGTTCTTACACATTCTTTATTCTAAATCTTGGGATATTTCTCTTCTGAGATATTATACTTCTCTCTTTCTCCCTACATCCTTTGATTTTAGTTGTGCACATACTCCTATCACTCCCCACCGGTGTCGGATCTACTGTCTCTTCCCCGCCATGATTGAACCATTCCAGGTCAGCCTATCTGAGTGCCCTGACTCACAAACACCCAATACTAATGCGGTTTTTATATCTAGACGACCTTCTCGGTCCCAATGACCTGTGAAGGTTGCGTGAAGTCCATCTCCAACTCTCTACACAGCCTAGAAGGTAGTCATCTCCCGAAAACAGCCCCAAAACCCACCTTTATCAAGCTGACTCCGTGACAGGCATCAATAAGGTTGAAGCGAATCTCAAAGACCAGCTAGTCTTCATCGAAGGCACCGCCCCTCCCAGCTCCATCGTGACCGCAATCGAAAGCACTGGCCGCGATGCCATCCTGCGCGGCAGCGGAACTACAAACAGTACGGAATCCCCCGGCTCCTAATGACTATTCCACGCGACAGACGTGAGCAATGCCAACTGACACACACCAAACAGGTTCTGCCGTCTGCATCCTCGAAACACACTCAACGAGCGTCTCAAACAATATCCGCGGTCTTGCGCGCATGGTCCAGGTCTCGCCGAGCATGACCCTCATCGACTTGACAATTAACGGCCTTGCGCCGGGAAAATACTGGTCAACTATTCGAGTAGCAGGAGATATCTCCCGGGGTGCTGAGTCTACCGGTGGTATCTGGGAGTCTCTAAAGACCAAGGTGCTTGGCGCTGATGCTGCCGCCCCGACCAAGGAATGCCGGGGCATTCTCGGTACCGTGGATGTTGACAATAAAGGAAAGGGCAGTGTGTTCTTGGATAGACCTGTGGCTATTTGGGAGCTTATTGGTCGGAGTATGGTTGTTTCCAAGGGAACGGAGGGTCCTTTCAAGCGTGAGGATGAGAATACTCTCGTTGGTGTTATTGCGCGCAGTGCAGGTGTGTGGGATAACGATAAGATGGTTTGCTCATGTTCGGGTAAGAATGTCTGGCAAGAGAGACAGGAGCAGGTTGTCATGGGTATGGCTTGAGTGAGTTCTGGTGTTGACTTTATCAAGAGTGGTGTTGAATGTTGGTGATGATACCACTCTTTGAACATGTAACGAGATCAATTACCAAGTGATATACGTAGCTTTGAATATGTGATACCACGAAGAATAAATGCGATTACGAATGACAGGGAGGTTTTGCTTTGCCTTCAGTAAGATATCACGCGAACCTTGGAACAAACTGCTTGTATCGTGTCCATAACCGGTATCTCTCATTATTTGAGATGTTCTTTTACGATTGAATTAATTTGTTAGGATACCCTGGATAAATTCACAGATGGAGTACTTCTGTTCACAATTGAACCCTATCTTCCTTTGTGACTACACTTGTTTCGGGATGGGATCATCTACGGTTGATTATATATTAAAACATTAATAGGAAGACCGCAGAAGAGGTACGTAGAAAAAAACATTGAAAGAGAGAACAAGCTGGTACTGTGAAAACATCATTCAGGTTCTGCTAAGAGTGGGTAATAATACATGTGATCAAAGGGGATGGGCAGTCCCTTTAGCTAAGCCATTTCCATGAACAAGTATCAACAAAGAATTTCACCAAAACTGTCTTGGATGCACAATTCCAGGGTAAAACTCGTCATCCGTATCATCTTCCACAAAGTCCAATCCTGCACCAGGAATGCCATCAGGGATGAGCGGTTGGGACATGATCCCCGGAGAGATTAGCCTATTTAGTTGTTGAGGTGCTCTGGTGGTATTATAGTTGCTGGTGCTATGCTGTGCAGATTTGACTGGTTGATTGCCGCTGTCGGGATACTGGCTGCTTGTTTTGCCGTCAACAAGAAAATACCCATTTCCATCCTCCACTGGGCTTGGGAAAAGAAGTTCAGACTCGACGGGGGACCATGGGGACCATGTATCGTTCGTCATTGATTCCATTGAAGTCATTTCAGTTGATGTGAGATCCCGGGATGTGGTATCAGCGGGTGTGGAACGGCTTGAATCATCTTCAACACTTGACCGCTGTGTGGTTGCTCTTTCGGAGGTAGACGGCCATCTTTCGCCAAAGTTCCGGTTGGAGATAAAATTAAGGGGATTGAGATAAGAAAAGGGCTGCATCTCTTCAGAACGGTTGATCGGGGTTTGTGAGGGTACCAAAGGTATGAGGCTTTCATCAATTTCATTGTATGGAGGCAGGTTGTTGTATGTGTCATCCTGAAGCACAATGCATTTGAGTGGGTTTGGGGAAGTGCACGGGGTTTGTTCTTGTTCATGAAGCCTGAGACTGTTTTCACTAAGATTGGGACGGTGCTGGCCGAGGCTGGAACTGTGTCGACTGGTGTTGGGACTTTCTGCACTGGGATTGGGAGTGTGTTGACTAGGGCTGGGACTATCATGTTGTCTCCCCCACTGGTGCAGCGTCTCCTGATATATTCCTGGAAATGCAAATCGAACTTCGGCGGAAGACTGTCTCGAGATGGGAGCTAAACTTGGTTGATAATCACTGATTTCTGTATCTGAACTTGCATGTCTGATATTTTGCTGGTGAAGATTTGTTGCCTGCTGCTCCTGCTCTTCACAAATAGACCCAGGATCTGGCAGGTCATGGGAGGACATTTTAATCTCTCCATCAGTAGAGATTGCAACGCCCCATGTCTGTTGTGTCAAATGGTTCTCTGTCGATGGCATGGTGTGAGCGAAGTGATCTTCAGAGTCCATATTTGCCTCCAAATCTCCAGTTTCACCAAATTGGAAGGCAAGATTATGGTCGGTGGCTAGTGTACATCTCGAGTTCACACCCGAATTACTTACAGCTCGGCTGGGTGGGTAAAATAAGGGTGAAGATGCAGCTCCGTGAAATGTTGCGAACGAGTCAGGTATCGAACCCAGAGACCTGACGCGGATAAGAGACCCCACTTCAGTACTGGACGATGGCGAAGACGGTGGAAGGTGCATGCGAGATAGTTCAGCGCCGAAATTCACGTCCTCCTGTGTATCCGAAGTGTACGCCTCGGATGAAATCGCTTGGCGCTGTCTTTCCTGTCTCAGAGCAACGGGGCCAACGAAACATTTCTCGGGGTTGTCTTCTTCACTTGAACGGTGGCTAAACCCCGACCGTAGCGCCAATAAACCTGACCGTGCTTTGTGGAGAGTTCGTTTTGAGACAGATTGGACCCATTCTTTTGGAGTGCGCGATTCTGAAGTCAAACTCCGTTGCTGATTGGGACGCCACGACGAGGTCGATATCTCTGGATTGTGGCGAGGATCCAAGGGATTAAACACAGGGTAATGAATCCTTTCTTGACAAGTTGGCTCTTCCTGCACTGGATCAGTTATGCTGGTCTCTTGGTTAGCAGGATATCTCTTTCATCTTTTGTCATTCTTTGTATGCAATTACCTAGGTCTCTGGCTTGCCCGGGATCGGAAGACTGATGATAGCGAGAATAAATGGCGACGTATGGTGTCTGAGCCTGCCTGTTGGTTGACAAGACTCATTTTGTTCAGATTGCTGTGACGTCTATCCAACCATTCGAATCATCAATGACATAAAGAAAGCATGTGAATGATCACCAAAGATAGATACCAACTATGACAGAGCGTGAATATGTAATGCGAAAGAAAAGAAAAACAACAACAACAATGCTGGAGGTCTGGTAAAGATCAGGAGACTAAAACCGAAGGGACGCGTGATAAAGACCTAGTCGAGCGATCAAGCTTGATCGCTCTTGCCCTCGAAGCTCCATACTCTCCTCCGCCTTTTGGAAATTGTATACATTGGAGTATCGGATATTAAGATATTGTAGGTTTTCATTACTTAGCCACAAATGATCGACCGTATTAGATTTCCAAAGTATTTTAATGAAACTGTGAGAAGGAATGGATAGGAGAAGACAACTATAACTTTCTATACACGAGGGACATTAGAGATAGGGTTCGTCATGGCAACGTGACCATGGCAACGTGACCGAACGCGCGACAGCAGGCGAGACAAAGCGATATATGGCAACAGCGACATCAGAGCCTCAACCTTTTACCGGATACCGAGCCAGAGTTCAGCTCCAAGCAGTGGAATATCAAATGTGCTATAAATTATGTATTCAACGTTCTTGCAATAGTGATCCCAAAATCTTCAGCCATATGGTTCTTTTTCTTACAACATTGAATATCAAAGTTCTATATATCATTTTACATTGACATCTAGCATTTGCCACTCCTAGCACAATTGTTATGATTTTTCACGCCCGGCATATTTGCTACATCCATATAGAGGCCAGGCTTTTTCGATCCAGCCTAGATCCGACAATTACTACGTCAATAGATAATTGTCCCTCTCGATCCTAGATAACTAGAGTCTTGAGTTCGGCTGTCTTCTCGGTATACCCTTCACTATAAGATTACTAGTCGTCGATCGATTTCCAACCTAAATCTGGACTGAGAACTTTATAGGTATGAACCATCATGCTATTATTATGTGGAACAGCCCCGAATAATGTGTAGTCAATACAAAAAAACAGGCTTCTCTTCTCCACGTCCCGCATCCCCATGTCCCACATTTCTTCGCCCCACATACCCTGGAGCAATGGCATAGGTATATCCGAAGTCTACATCCATTGAACCTACTTTAAGTACCGATTTCTTTTTATTCTCACTCCGAACACTTCATTTGTTCAGCCCTATACCATTTAAAATGCCCTCCTGGACTCATCTGGTTCGTTTTATCGCCATCGAGGACAGCCAGGTTCACCTCGGCCAACTGGTCGATACCACCCGTGATGTTGGACGCGATAGCGTCGATGGAGTGGAGATCGCTGTGAAGGCGATTGAGGGTACTATCTTTGATGGCCGAGTTACAGACGAGATTTTGCATGTGAAACAGGTGAGTTGTTTGTCTTTATAGCCATTAATGCAGGAACATATGCTGATACCTAGCCACTACAGCTCCTTGCACCTGTCACTCAAGAGCAGTGTAGTTATATCCGCTGCCTGGGTCTCAACTACATCGACCACGCGCAGGAAGCCAACTTGCCTCTCCCAAAGGCGCCAATTCTTTTCACCAAGCCCCGCACTGCACTCGCTGGCCCTTACCCTGCTGCCATCAACGTCCCCAAGTGTGCTCAAGATGACACTAGTGACTACGAAGCCGAGTTATGTCTAGTAATTGGAAAGACTGGCAGAGATATTCCCGAAGAGGAGGCTCTCGACTATGTCCTGGGTTACACTGCATCAAACGATGTCTCTGCTCGTACTCTGCAGTTGATCACGGCCCAATGGTCGTTCTCCAAGGGCCTTGATGGAAGCTGTCCTATCGGTAAGTTTGGACAACAATTTAGTTTGACTTCTCTTTGTTAATTAAGGGCGATTATAGGTCCTGTCCTTGTTGCACCCTCCGTAATCAAGGACCCGCAGACTCTGTCAATCAAGGCTATCCACAACGGCACTACTGTTCAAGACGGACATACCAAGGATATGATCTTCAATATCAAGAAGCAAATTTCATACCTTTCGCAGGGCACCACACTGGAAGCCGGAACACTGTTCTTGACCGGAACTCCTGCCGGTATTGGATATTTCAGGCAGCCCAGAGTTGTTCTCAGGGATGGCGATGAGATCTCGGTTAAAATTGACCAAATTGGAACTCTTGTCAACAAGGTTCGTTATGAGAGTCGTTAAAAACCCATGGATGGTAGGTATATTTTCTTGTATATATGAGCAAAAGGTTCATTCATGCAGTCAAAATTCGCGAATATATTCCAGGTCGTTGGCTACTTGTTGCGCAATTTGTTCCGGAAGTAGAAATATCACTCCAAGAACCAAGACGGCACTTCAGGTCCCCACACGGCCAATGACTCATCACCCGCAGGCGTATACCCTATCGGGGTTTGGTTGTTGACCAAATCCCCGTCCGCATAATGCTCGATCATATTTCCTGTAGTATCCCACCAGTAGTCGAAAATCTGACTTCCAAGAATGTGTCGGCCAACACCCCAGACAGACTTATAGTCCTTCTTCGCGAGCCATTGGTGGCCCAGATTCTGGGTATCGAAGTCGTGAACCTCGAATGAACAGTGGTGCACATGTGCTGTCGGGTTTGCACTTATGAAGAATGAGTGGTGATCGACGGTATTCTCGCCATGATCAACGTGGGCGAAGAGGGCGACGTTCTTCTTTTTGCCTTCTACCTCAACATAGAGGAAGTCCGTTGGGACCATATTGAAGTTCTTCGTGTAGAATTCGACAAGCCCTTCAAAGTTTGTGGTGCAGACGCCGTAGTGGCCGAGCTATAAATTATTAGTGTCTATATTTAGGATAAAAGGGAACAGTGGCTAACCTTATGAACTGCGGCCGGACCAGGCTGGAAACGGTGGAATTTTCGCACTCGTGGCTTCTCGATCTCATAGTTTGCAATCAGCTTATCTGGGTATGTGCCAGGCGTAACAGGCGTCGTTCCATAAAATAGGTTCATGGCAAATCCTTCCGGATCTGTCAATGTCACCATGTGGCCTCCACCTGGGGCATCTGTGAGATCTTGAATCTCGCCCGCTGTGGGTAGCCTTGTTGCCCTTGAAAATGTCAGCGGTGTATTGTTGGCAGTTGTAATTTCTTTTCGTGTCACTTACCTCTCCAGATCCTGGTAAGATTCAACTTCCCAAGCACCGCCAAGGAACTTCTTCTCTCCTTTCTTCGCATAGTAGACGTAGGGGTCCACTCCATATCCCCGGTACCAGATCTCGTCATCGGTCCTCTTTGCGATGGTCATACCAAAATATGTAAGTAAATAAGTGCGTGGTCTTTTCCAAAAGGGTTACTACAGTAACATACCTTCAAGGAAAGTGGTAATCTCCTCCAGATCCGGGTGTTGGTAACGCATATGGGCCAGCTTAACCAAGCGGATATGCGAGTCCGTCTTGATATTACATCTCGCTTGCCATGCCGGGATACTCTCTGCCTCTGGGCCGATCGCCATAATATCGGCAATCGAGGCACCGTGGTTTGGTTGGATACTCTAGGCCGATGTATTAGTACTAGACTTGTAGATCGGTCGGAGGCTATATATACCATGTTGATGACTTAATTTCGGTTGAGTCTGGCCTGGCCTGATTTAAACTTACAAGCCTCCAATTTAACTTAACATGACCTCCTACCTACGTAGGTTGTCTTATAATTGCGGATAGAATTGCCCCTCAGCTTGTCCCCGCAAGGCCCCGCTAGGTCCCGCCCGATCCCACATATCTGGGACCTTCCCCGGACCCCACAGTACCCTAGCAAGGCCCGATGGTTATGTTGCAAAACCCGACGTTTCAACCCAGGGTTTCTCTAGTAATATCTAGTCAATTGATATCATTTTAATTGTTTTAAATACAGAATGCTTAATTATTCATTGTTAGAGGCTTTTATTGGTTGGACAGATCACCGCTCCTGCAAGGGATTCTTACTTAGTAAGGTAGCTTGCTAAGGTGAAGTCAGGAAGACGACCGATCCCCACACTTTATGTGGGTCTCCAAACGTGAGTATTACCCAATCATACGAAAAAGGCCGGCAGTTGTAGTAATTACACATCGATACATCACTCCTTGCCTTAAAATTGTGGTTTGTTGGGATATTTCACTCTTAATACGGTAAAACAGCGGACCGCAGACATCTGGATTCAAGCTCAATTGCCGCGAATGTCTCTTGGATATACCCCTCGATAGTTCCATCCTGAAGTAAATGAGGTAAATCCTAGTCATCTTTATCCGCCTACGGTAGTAGGGTACTAAGTTATCACGAAACATAACGCAAATCACTACAGGTCTTCAAATCCCAGAATGGATCTCATTGGTATGGGAAGTTTGCCATTACAGGCCTTTCAGTACGGCGGTTTGGCCGAGTGGTTAAGGCGATTGAGTATGTGTATTGGATATAAAAAAATAAGCCCAACATTCACTAACAATGAAATCAACTCCGTTCGCGGGCGCATTCGTCATGCAGCAGTCGTTGCTTTCTTTTTTCCCCCTCATCTTCGTCTTGAGATTTTTGCCTAGTTCTACCTTAGGATGATATTTATTTTGAGAGGGGACCTCAAAAGTACCTTTGGTGACGGTGAGTTAGGGGGGCATAAGAGTCAGACACATCAGAACTACCTGATAGCATCTATATTTTTAGTATGAGAGAATAGTAGAGAAGAGAGCTATAGAGGTCCGGAGTGAAAAGCCGTTGTTCCAGTTATTTTTGCCGTTATGCATAACTAACTAGTGAGTATTGGGTAAGGTCAATATACCATAAGCGGTGTCCTATATTTCCTTCCCCTTCAAACCTCAGAACTACCTAAAAGTGGAATCTTAATATGTGGTTTGAATAAGTTCAAGTAGGCATGAGAAAAAGCAAGCCCCTTCAGTTTGCCTCAACATATGATGTCAGGTACGGCCTCCCATCCTTGAAGCCCATGAAGCTATTTCGATTTGTGCTAAGCGCGCTAAGCATCGATAGCAAGGTTACATGATCGGATCTGTCAAGAGATCTGGACCGCAATCACACCTCAAGCCCAGAATGGGGATCTATATGGCCATTTCCATGGCTGGTTATAGCCCTCAACAGGAAATATGGTAAAAAACTAGAGATAGGACAAACATGCCAAGTGTCTGCGGAACATGCTGGTAAATATGGACATGTCTGACCGGCTCAAACTTGGAGGGTCACTATCGCAATCTGTCACTTGCCCCATTCCTAATCGAAAAGCGATAAACCCACACGTGATTGGTAAGTGCAAGGTTTTAAGTGCAAGGTTTGGGATACATTGGAGGTCAACGTAGAACGTCCGGGGTACAGAAGCGCTAGGTCCCAGTGTGGATATTCCCCCGCAGAAACACGGGACCGGAAATGACCGTGAGAGATAAAAAGTAATTGCAAATGTCAAGCTTCACGCACATCGGCGTCTCCCGTCTGACAAGGACCTGGAAGCTTGATTGAAAGCCACAGGGGATTGGCTGGGGTACTGGCAATCAGGGAGGTGTTGCGCAAACACAAGGTTTAGCCATGCAGGAGGCCCCCTGCAAAATGATAAGAGGAAGTGGCATGCAGGTAGCTCGAACAAGTGTGATTGGTACAAGGATCATCAAGAGTTCAGTGTCTACTGAGGTGGAGTCAATAATACTGTCACTATCAGGAAGATAATCGGAAGTCGGAGATACTTCTTATCAAGTCCCGAGACAGGACAGCTCCACTTGTGGACATTTAGATCCACTCACACAACTCCTTCATCCAATGACAATCAAACACCAAGTTGAAAACGCCAAGCGAGTGCACAATCCTTGGCATGCTGATAAGCTAGGGCTATCCGGATGGTTATGATTGGTTTAGCTGATCCCTTGATGGGGCCTGAAGGCTTGTTACTGTTCGGCTTTTTCGAGGAACACGCGACAGGACTAGTATCTTTGCAGTGCGCGCTCGTCGGTGGGGCCGGACGCGCAAAGAATTCTCGTGGAACACTATATTAACAGCTTCTCCCGGTCGGTGGATCGAAAAAAAAGAAAGAAAGAACGATGTGACACTGTCCCTTGATTTAATTCCTTCATCCTGATCTCCCTGGGTCTCGCTGAGCCTTCTCAGCTCTCCGATTAATCCCGTTTATATACTTTACAATTCTTCGCCTTCATTGGTGAGGATTCGACCGAAAAGATGCTCCCTAACCTCGCCAAAGCGTTCCGCAGCTCAAATGATGACCTGGAAAAAGCACCCCAGTTGAATAATACCTCCGACTCAAATAGCAATGAGCTATTCGACAACTTCAGTGATGGCGCTGTGCCCGGCGAGAGCTTCGAATACGGCGATTCGATGTACGCCAAGCTCCAACGCGTAGCCGGCAAGTTCAACATCGAGCAGCGAGGTGTCGAGCGAGTTCCAGAATCTGAGCGGACTGATACGTCTTATTTCAATATTGGTAGCATGGTGTGTTCCTGCAGTTACCTGGCGTGATCGCCATGGCCCAGAGGCCTGTTCCACTGACCAAACCTAGTGGTTGGCCGCAAACATGGTTGTCAGCTCCTTCGCCATTGGCGTTCTTGGAAAGTCTGCATTCAGTTTGGGCTTCGTTGATGCCATTTTGGTCTGTCTCTTTTTCAACCTCCTCGGTGTTATGACCGTGTGCTTCTTCTCGTGCTTTGGTCCACCCTTTGGGCTGCGCCAGATGGTGCTCTCGAGATTCTGGTTTGGATGGTGGCCTGTGAAATTCAGTAAGTTGCCTCGGCATGTCCATTGAGCTGTGTGTAGTCATACTAATTCATAATTTTCTAGTTGCCGTCCTTAACATTATCGCCTGTGTCGGTTGGTCTGCTGCCAACGCCATTGTCGGTGCCCAGCTCCTCAACGCAGTGAACGCAGAAGTCCCCGGATACGCCGGTATCCTCATCATCACATTCTGCACACTCTTCGTCACTTTTGCCGGGTACAAGTTCGTTCACATGTATGAGTATTGGAGCTGGATCCCCACCACCATTGTGTTTATCATCGTGTTCGGCACATTCGCCCACTCCGGCGATTTCATCAACATCTCAATGGGGGTCGGAATCTCTGAAATGGGTTCCTGTCTATCCTTTGGATCCACGGTGTATGGTTTCGCAACTGGCTGGACCAGCTACGCTGCCGATTACACCGTCTACCAGCCAAAGACCCAGAGCCGTCGCCTGGTCTTCCTATCTGCCTGGCTTGGTCTGATCGTCCCCCTAATCTTCACTCAATTCCTCGGTATCGCCATTATGTCTGCGACGGCTATGGGCGACGGAGTTAACAACAAGTACGCCGAGGGCTACCTAACCTCAGGCAACGGCGGCCTGATTGCAGCCGTGCTGGAGCCTCTCGGGGGCTTCGGGAAATTCTGCCTTGTCATACTGGCCCTGTCCATTATCGCCAACAACTGCCCCAATATCTACTCCGTCGGCTTAACCTTGCAGGTGTTGAGCCGGGCTACGCAGCGCGTGCCGCGATTTATCTGGACATTCCTCGCCTCATGCGTCTCCCTTGCCATTGCTATCCCAGGTTATGACCACTTCGAGACCGTTCTCGAGAACTTCATGAGCCTTATCGCTTACTGGTTGGCCATTTACTCTGGCATTGCGCTCGTTGACCACTTCGTTTTCCGACGTGGATTCGACGGCTATCGTCCGGAGGACTACGACAGTCCTGATAAGCTGCCCCGGGGAATCGCCGCATCTGTTGCGTTTGCTTTCGGTGTCGTCGGTGTTGTTGTGGGCATGAGCCAAACGTGGTGGATGGGTCCTATTGCCAAGCATGCTGGAGACCCAGAATTTGGTGGCGACATCGGATTTGAGTTGGGCTTTGCCTTCTCTTCTACGACCTATTGCATCTTGCGACCGATCGAGCTTCGTATGACTGGACGATAAGTTTAATTTTATATGTACCTTAAAATTTATATATATAAAGTTCTATATCTCGACCATATCATTATTTTTATACCTCACAGATATAGTACTAAACTAATAAGGCCTAGTTAACTAGTTAACTAACTAGTTAGCGGTCAAATGCTCGTGTAATCTCCAGGTGCAGCGAGTCCCCGTCTGGATTACACGATTACACCAATCATGCATGGGGCCCGTATTGACCTTCTATTTCAAAGGAATCTTGAACAAGCCGAATGTATCTTATCCCTTGGTGATAGAGAGGAGGTAGAAATCTTCTTCGAATTTGCCTATAGACTCCCCAACTTTGGCTGAATAGTACTTTTGGGGGTTGTAGCTGGGGCTCTGTTCTTCGTCGATAAGTAAAGGCAAGGTGGATTCTCGTGCTGAGGATGACATTCTTGAGATTATTTTGAAGGGGCGAATAGTTTATCTACAATGAGATCTGAACAAAATCATTGTGAACCAAAACTTGGCGAAGGGGGAAGGAGGTGTCGCTGTCCGAATAATTGTATTCCCTAGACCTCGGGTTTGTGTCAACCTGACCCTATGTGACAGGACCGTAGTCTCGTCCCCTTCTTCCTTAGCAGTTAGCAGTTACCAATACAATTGCTCTCTCTCTCTCTTTTCCTCCCCACTACATTTCCCTGACTACCTAGGCACTTTGTACTTTGGGTGGCCTTTTTAGTGCGATTTTTAGTTTGAGGCTTTGAGCCAATCCATGGTTCTAAATGCGCCGAGTCTCTATACAGATTCACACGTCCGTCGCCTAAAACGGTTATATTGAAACCATAGACTATGGGCAGGTATGATTATGTAAACAATGACGATATTAACATTAGCGTTAGGGAAGTGGAAGTGTGAATCAGTAGTTACTTCTTCTTCTTCTTCTTCTTCTGTACTTCTCATAACCAAGCATAACATCAAGAATCACGATGCCAAAAATCCGTTCTCAGGGCCTGCGGGTCTGGTATCAGAAACTTTTGGAACTTTCTTCGCGACACGATGTCCCTACGCCAGTTAGGGAGCATATAGCTCAGGTCTCCATAGAGCTACCACACCTAGACCCCTCAGAGATGAGTCTTGATGAAACCACCCGCGCTTTTGGACTGAAGAAATCAGACCGCGGTTATCAGCTTTGGCAATTTCGAAAGGTTGAGATCAACCTCCCGGAAAGCTTTTGTGAGTGAATTCACTCGTCATAACTACCTTGGATTTCTATTAACTATATATAATCAGTGTGTAACCTCAATGCTTTTGAAAGTCTCACTCAACGAGCCAAGGGCACAGAAGCCAGGCTGCGATATAAACTCGACACATTGATAAGCGCGGTTTATCAAGCACTAGTCACACAAAACATGCTAGTAAACGGACCTACCATCACACTAGCTCATGAAACAACTGTGAGTTGGGGCCCTATTATATACAAAGACGAGCTATATCTTTGTATAGGCAGGGCCAATTATAGCCTTTTTTTTGGTGAGAAAGATCACCTTGCTTGTCATATTGTAATGATTGAAGCAGAGACAGTTTTTGGCGACGGCGATGCCCAACTTTTGGCCTATATGTCTATGATACAGGCAGATCGCAAGAAACGCGGGCAGCCCGACTGGACTGTATATGGAGTCCTTAGCGATGGAGAGACCTTCGTATTCTATGATTTGGATATGAATGGCCAGTATACGGTTGTTTACCTACAAGTACAACGCGAAGGATGGCAAATGGTTGCCAACATGCTCGGTTCCCTCATCATTGAAGGGATGAAAACTTGTTCTTCGCCTGTGCGATCAAGTCTGGCGAGTAACCCTTCCCCTCGGCACTCTCACAAGCAGACACCGCCTCAACTACCTCCCCTTGGTACTCTTCCGTCAATTGAAGACATGATGAAGACATGATGAAGATGGAGATGAACAAATGTTTTGATGTTTTGTTTCACAACCTAACCAAGAAAGAGGCTCATTGTATCATTAACTAGTTATGTACTTTATAACACAGAATAGGCAGTATCCTTAATTTGCTACAATAATTGGAGGCAACCGGCAATCCAAGTAATAGGAAATGGTAGAGGCCCCGAGCGCACCATAGAGCGAATTCGGTACGGCAATGCATAGAAATGGGCTTTTGATGGGCTTTGATGGGCGCCCATTAATGGGCTTGGGCGGGCCCATTTGTGGGCTAATGAGAGGTCTACACTATATGCACACACTTTTAGACTTTTCTACTTTTGAATAATAACAAAAATGTTGTAGAGATAAAAGCGACTCTCGGTCGAGATCAAAAGGTGCTAGTTTTGAGGTACTTTTTATATGTGTTCCCTATGGAAAAGGTACCTGAAAGGATTTAACCACCCTTCAACTCGTCCCAACCCCTACTACAAGGGTAGGGTTGAGCAAGCGATGGGCCGTAGTTAAAGAAGGAACCAGACGGGGGACTCACACCCAGCCTTCAGAGGACGTCCTAAAGTAGAAACCCGAGGCGCTGCTAATGGCCCCAGCCTGGCTAAAGCTCTCTACGCCACTCGTAGTACCTTCACCCTCAACCCCGGACAAATTGAACTCGTTGTCCGTCGGTACAATATCATGCCGTTCTAGCAGCGGATATAAAGAATAACTTAAACCCGTGGACAAAATTGTCAGATAGACAGATTACAATAGAGAGCTCAAACATTCCTAAGTTTCATTGGCTGGGAAAGCCACATGTGGAGACTTCAGCATGCCCAGGTGCTTCCCAATCCGGTTAGTCGATGACATCCAAATCTGATATCCACCCTCCCTCTGATCACAGAAACCGTGCACCCCCAGTACCAAAAGGGTATAAAAAGTAGACCGAATCCCAGACAATGCTTTTTCCTTTTCAAGCTATGATTCTCCATTTCAAGCCACTCTAACATTCATTTATCCCAATATTGCGCGTAACATAACTAGCCCTAATTTCATACATCAACCATGCCTTTCGCCTATAATCCCGACAAAGATATCCCCGATCTGACGGGAAAGTCTATATTCATTACAGGAGGTCTGAAAATAATATTTTCTCCGTTCTAAATTTCCCAACTGACAGCCAATTTAGGAACCGGTGGTCTAGGCGCAGCATCAGCACTCCACCTCGCCAAGCACAACCCATCACATATCTACCTCAGCGGCCGCAATGCTACGAGCGCAGAAAAAATGATCAAACAAATCCACGAAATGAATCCCAAGCTTGTAGTCACATTCATACAATTCGACCTGGCCTCCTTGACCTCCGTAAAAAATGCCATTGAGCATTTCACTAGCCAACACTCAACCCTAGACATCATAATGTGCAATGCCGGGATAATGGCCCAATCACCGAGCCAAACAGTCGATGGCTACGAGCTGCAATTCGGCACCAACCACCTCGGCCATGCCTTGCTAATAAAAAAGCTCCTACCCCTCCTCGAAACGTCCACCGACCCGCGCATCGTCCTCCTCACTTCACAGGGATGGGGGCTGCACCCGCGTGGCGGAATCATCTTTGACAAGCTCAATACGACACAGGATATTGCGTTTGGCGGGCCGTGGGTGCGGTATGGACAGAGTAAGCTGGCTAATTTGGTATATGCACGCGAGCTCGAGAAGAGGTTTCCGGCTATCACATCGGTGTCGGTGCATCCTGGTGTTGTGGGGACAGGTCTTGTTACTGGGCTTGGGATTAAGGAGAAGATGCTTGTTTATGCGACTACTTGGTGGATGATGCTGCAGCCGTATGAGGGTGCGTTTAGTCAGACTTGGGCGGCTACCGTGGATAAGGCGGAGATTCGGAATGGCGGGTACTATGAACCTGTTGGGAAGTTGATGGACAGGAAGCTTGATGCGACGGCGAGGGATGGAGTCCTTGCGGAAAGGTTGTGGGATTGGACTGAGGAGGCTTTGAAGGGATTTTGATTTGGTGTTGATTGGAGTGACTGCTGGGGTCTTCGGGAAACCGCATAGCATCTATTCAATTCTATCACGGAGTTACATGTGTCGTATTTGAGAAACAATTCCCACCAGCTCAAATAGTTTGTCATAGCTTCGCAATCCGCCGGCAAACTGCTAGGATGAATCGACATTCATCGTCGACGCAATTTCCAACATGTGACTACCAATTACGGATTTGGCTCAAAGGTTCCGTAGCTCACCAGGTGTTAGACATCTCGGGTCCTCGGAGAACTCACGATTTTCCACATCGCTAGACAGGTCGTAGGTGTTAAGATAAATAGGCTGTAGTGCCTTCGGCATCTACTATCTTAGATATAGTTTGGGAGCTTGTCCGTCTCCTTTCTAGTGTAGCTTCAAAGTGTATGTCGTTGAAATCTGGATCGGTGTAATTCAAATAGGCACTATGTAGCCTAGAGTGACGAAAGCAGGTCCAGCAAGTTCATGCATCTTGGCACTGTCTAATTGGTAAAATAATGTAGAAATAATGGGTAATGATCTATGTTGTACAATCTAGAGCCTTAGGGCTAGAAGCTTGGTCCTATTTCTACCTAATACTATGCTTTCTAAAATATGATTTATTAAAGAACATTTACAAATTCTAGCGTCTCGCCGTATAAGAAACAGAAAAGCAGCAAGAAGGAGCGTAAAAAGGTAAACCAACGGACACACCCCGAGAGAAATAATAAGAGCAAAAAGGAAACCCCGAACAACACCTATGATCTCCTTAGTAAGTATAGTGCTTGTTTCGTGTGTGCTGAACCAGATTGTCCGCACGATTAAAAGCCTTGTCGCAGCCCTCCACCGTACATAGATGAGCCAGAGGGCTGACGTGTATTTTCCGAATATGGCGGATGAGGGAGGATTCCCGTTTGAAAGTGCCTCGGTAGCCACAGCCGTCCCACTTGCATTGGAACTCCGACTCATGGGGGCTGTGCGGGGGTGAACTATTGAGTTAGAGCTAGCTCCGATTTGTGTTGCATATCCAGGAAATGGTCCTACCTGCTGATTTGGCATCCTCTAGCGCGGTTTCGAGTGTTGTTCTCTCCCCTGGAAATTACAGCCGACTCCTTTGGGGGGTTTGGATAGACAATTACAGGATTCGAGGTGTTCGGTTGGTGGGGCACGCTAGGTGACATGGCACGAGTAGATCCTCCCTGCGCCGCCAAGGAATTCAGCTGGGGGCGAGGCGATAGGTTGGAAGTGACAGGTACAGCATTGGGAATGCACATTTCGAATTCTGCATGGGCGCTCCAGTTGAGATCAGGGGCTAGATGAGGGAAGGTCTGGGTAGGATTGTCCAGACTATACCCGTAGATACGGGCCTCTTCCCAGCTTTGATCATAGGGCCATGTCATTTTGAGCCAAGGAAGCGATTTAATGTGAGAGGAGTCCCCAAGACAAGGGACAAAATAAAAATTGTCAAGGAACGGTTGATGAGGAAATCTTGGAGAGTAAATCCATTCTGTCGGGGGCAAGTAACAGTTATTTATGCTTTAGCAACAATACACTGTAGCTTTAGAAAATGAGCCTTGGTGTAGACCATAGAATTATTGATAGGAGGCAAGAGATGTTCAAAGGGAAAATGACCTCAACAACCCGATATTTGAGGACATACCAATTGGATTCTTCTATCGAAATCTTCTAGGGATGCCCGATGCCCTCACTTTCCATAACCCTGACCGCAGCGATGAATTCAACAAATCATAGCTCACAATGCGTCATAGGATACCCATTTTGCTATGCATCCTACCTGGGCAGGGCTTCGTATCAGCGAAGTGTGTGAACTGACCAATGAGACTGTAGATTTCGGACCCATTTTTCAATGTTGGACATTGCAGTCGGTTGCAGTCGGTGAGGTTGAAGCAACTTTGGGGCTGACCAGATGATCTGTGTTGAGGTCTCCCACAGAATCTCTTAAAAAGGCTCGTCCGCTACACTCCTCATAGTTCTTCCCTCCCCCCCCCACCCCCCACCAACAATTCTCACAACTATGGCGGGATCAGATTTCGAACCATTCAAGCTCGAAATCGAGCGTCTGTACATCCATGAGAACCAAACCTTGCCCCATGTGATGGATTATATGGCGTCTAACTATTCTTTGATCAAGTCGTAAGTGTTGCAACATTGCTAGACCACTCTACTCAACTCACAATATAGAAAGCTCAGGTCAGTACAACCGCCAACTCAAGAAATGGGGCTTTGTCAAGGGTCATATCACGGCAGATGAGTGGAATTGGATGGCAAACAAGCAGAACAAAAGAAAATTCAACGACAAGAAGGAAAGTGAATTCTACATTGGTGGAAACCAAGTCCACGTCCCAAAGCTCAAGAAGGCAAAATATAGAGATGCCTACGTCTCAAGCATAGCCAGGTACTCTACTGGTAAACTGAGCATATGATTCCAATCGGACCAGATATTAATGGACTGATCAATATCGATATTTAGCTCCTTCCCCGAAAACCCCAGAAGGGTTCTTTGTTTGCACCCCAACAGCGCCAGAGATGGATATCACCTGGAATGGGTCACTCCCATGGCTGCGCTTTATCTCACTTATGCGTCTTAAGGAGAATAGTGGTATGACATTTCTGGATTTTCCTATTCAGACCCGATGCGACCGAGACTCACCATATATTCAGAACCACCATCGTCATCCTCGTCCCTGCCCATCCGTTCCCCTCGTGGTACCAATGCGCTCTCTCGCACCATCAACCACGAACTGATGGGTCGCCTGAGCACAATCATACCATGGAATAGACTGGGCCATCCCCTGAATATACATAGTAGCTCTCAAACATCGGCGGCTTTGAGCATACTCATGCCAGAGGAGTTCAAGGGCCAGCACGATGCTTTGTCCACGGAGTTGAACAGCTCTACAAACAAGGGAAGAGATCGTATGGCCTTGGAGCTTTTCCTTCTTTCGAACAACTTCACTTCACAAGATCCAGATAAAACAACCAGGGGAAATATGAGATCGGATGGTGAGCGGATGATGCAAATGTTGGGCGATTATGGATGGAAGGACTTGGCACATGTCCGGACCCTTTTATCAACTAGCGAGCCAACTGCTGAAGCCATTGCAGAAAAGGTGTTTGCAATTGCATTGAGACTACACCATGTGGACGCGGTGAAGATGATGCTCGAAGCCCATATGGATCTAAACGTCCCATTGATCGAGTCAACATCCCACGGTGTCTTGACACCCCTTCAATTTACCGCAAAAAGCCATCATGAACGAAGTGAGGAACTTGTCAATCTTCTTATATCTTATGGGGCGGATGTGAATCACGCAGGCACTGCGTATCCACCTTTGTTTTATGCCATCAGGAAACGCGAGAACAGAATCATCCGTGCTCTTATGCTTCATGGTGCTATTGTGACGCCATCTTGCCTCTCTATTGCCACACATCTGAAGGACATCGAAGTCTTTGCGGACATCGCCAATTCCTGTTCAAACGTGAACGCAATAACAGGATGGCAGAGCGCTCTCGCCGAGGCTGTCAAACGTCGCAATGTCCCAATAATTGAAATCTTACTCGCCAAAGGTGCCAATATGGATATTATGGTCAGTATCAACTTCGATCATGACATTGCGACGACCACTATCCTAGGCCTTGGCGCCATATCACGATCTATCGATGTTATGCGTGCCCTGCTGCGGGGCTGCCATGAGATAAATCCCAACTTCGTTCGCATGCCCTATGTTTCGCCCATTGTACTCGCAGTGAGAGAAGAAAGTGCTGAGATCACCCAGGCTTTACTCCAAGCTGGGGTTGATATTAAGCTGGCCGACGAGCAAGGGAAAATGACACTGCTTGAACGCGTTGCCAAAGACTGTTCCACAGCCTCCTTGGTCCCCCTGTGCAAAATATTAATTGCATATGGGGCCCAAGTTAACAGACCATTTTCAGCTCAGAAATATGAGACCTCAGCTCTTCTCATTGCGCTCGATCGAAAGTCACCATCGCCCGAAGTTGTTCAGCTTTTAATCAATGCAGGTGCACGCCTCAATGATGAATACACTAAGCCCCCTTACACTGCACTTGGAGCTGCCGTTAAACAGGGCAATGAAGTGTTGATCAATAGCCTTTTTGCTACCGGGGCTACATTTGTGGGAACCAAACTAGAAGCAATTGGCAGTTTACGTACTGCGATATACTTGCAGGAGAATGGAGTTCTCGAAGGCATTTTGAGGGGATCAGGCCCTGGTATCCTTGCTGCTGCGTTATCGGCGAAGAAGGCCGATCTAGCTCAGTACTTGCTCGAACATAATGCTGATCATGAAGAGCGGATCGAAAACAGATCTCCCTACCAACAGACCCCATTGGAAGCAGCAATTCAAGCCGAGGATTTTACCTTTGTAAAAAGGCTTTTGGAACGCGGTGCAAGGGTTACAGACCGTGTTCTTGGAGATGCTATAGGCAAAGATCCTATATTCTTGAAATACCTGCTGGCCAGGTTCCGCGGAAGTGCCCCAACTGCAGTAGGGGCTGCACTTTCTTGCCGTACATCCCTACAACTGCTTCAACTGCTTCAAGGGGCAGGATTGGACCCCACTGGAGTACCAAACCTATTCCAGTTGTATTGGGATTTGGACGATTTTGAACTGCCGCTACCAGAGTCGGTACTGGAAATAGCAGTGGTCTTAGGAACCAGTGAGACGTTACAATTCCTGCTCCAATGGACGTCCTGGAGCCCAAGGCTGACGGGTCGCGCCTTGACAATAGCAATAATCTTGGATCTAGAGGATCACGCCAAGGATATACTGTCTTTCCACCCTGATCTGACTCAGGAGATTACGATCAAATACCCGAAATATGAAGAAGACGAAGAAGAGGGAGAAACATACCGTCCCCTTGAAGCCGCAGTCAACATACAAATGATCCAGGTTGCCCGGGAATTAATGAAAAAGGTAGATGTCAACTATCTTGGTCGTGGAGCCCGCCGTCGAACAGCATTGCAATATGCTGTTGAAAAAGGAAACATGGAGCTTATCAACCTATTAATTTCAACGCACAAAGCTAGAATTGATGGTCCCCCTGCCACAGACGGCGGTGCTACTGCATTGCAGATTGCATGCCTCAAAGGGTACATTGGTATTACAAGGAGACTACTTGACCTTGGAGCAGATGTCAATGAAGCCCCCGCAAAATTCAACGGGCGTACCGCCTTGCAGGGAGCGGCAGAACACGGTCGAATTGATACGCTACAAATGCTGCTCAACGAAGGAGCATTGATTGTCGGTGAAGGTGAACCGCAGTATCGTAGGGCTGTCGAGCTTGCGGAACGCAACGGGCATCAGGCTGCTGCGAGGCTGCTGAGGTCTTGGAGGGACTCTGTTTGTTTGAGTTCCTCGGCGGTTTGACAATGAGGGTATTTGAAGGTCGCAGAATGCAGCCCGAATTTGCGCTGTTAGTAACTGAATTCACCCGACTTCATGATTTTTGTAGCCTTGTATTTAGATTAGAGTTGGGTAAATTTCGAAATAGACGTGTGCACACTTTTTCAAGACTGCGTGAAGAAATAGAAGACATTTTACAGTGACGAGACGGTGTTAATCAAGTAGTGGCATATTATATAGGGTAGGGTAAGAGGTAAAGAAGAGGATTCAGTATGTAGAGGCGGAATGAAATGTTGCATGGGGAGTGACAATTTAGACCCCGTCTTGTTCATAGTAGAGTCGGTTTGCTTGAAGAAATGGAAGGCCGTGTCATTTCCCAGTCTAGCTGAGGTCAGGGCGAATGACAATTTTGTCCACTACAAGTAATCTTGAAGGCAAGAGTCCTCGAAGTGAACTATATCTAAAAATGGCGCCCATGGAGACATTTGATATTTGGGAACACGATCATGTTTATGGCCGAGAAAACAGTGAGAGAGAGAGAACGACCTCGGGAGGTTGTTGATCACTTGAGATGGGGTTATACACACCGCGCCACGTGATTTCCGCCACCAGCCACAGCTGCGCCACGGCAAATTATTAAATCCACAACGGATTCGCCTTTGAAAGAAATCGAGAAATTCAGCAGCCGTAATAACACCATCACTTACAACATGTCTCCAACCGGGAAGTGAGTATACACAGTTTCAGTCCTATCAAAAATTCTGGCCTAACAAATCTCTCTATTTTTCAGCCGCGCCGACTGGGCTGACGACGAAGATTTCGATGACCCCTCCGTGCTCCCGCCGCAAGAAGTGATCGCGAACAAGGACGGCACCAAAACCGTCATTTCCTACCGCTACAATGATGACAACAAGAAAGTGAAGGTCACCCGCCGAATTAAGACCACTATTGTCCGCGAACACGTCAACCCCCAGGTCGCCGAACGCCGCAAATGGGACAAGTTCGGTCTCGAGAAGGGCCACGCCGCAGGTCCCTCGTTCGACACCACCTCCGTCGGCGAGAACATCATCTTCCGTCCTAGTGTCAACTGGAAGGCCAACGCTAAGGAGGCTGAGAAGGAGGGTGGCGAGAAGGGCAGCATGAAGGACCAGTTGAAGGACAAGAAGGTCAAGTGTCGTATTTGCAGTGGAGAGCATTTCACGGCTCGCTGTCCCTTCAAGGACACTATGGCCCCCGTCGAGGAGGGCACTGCTGCTGCTGGTGGCGTCGAGGCAGAGGACGATGCGGGTGGTCTTGGTGCTGGAAAGTCCAGCTACGTTCCTCCTCACATGCGGAAGGGCGGTGCTGGTGGCGGCGAGAAGATGGGTGGTCGTTTCGAGAAGGACGATTTGGCGACTCTCAGAGTTACAAACGTATGTTTTGCCAGTATTCTGCTTTCTACGAGCTCTACGAGCGTCATACTTGTTTATCTTCGTTCGTTGCTGACTTTTTTTTTTTTTCGCAAACAGGTCAGCGAATTGGCAGAGGAGAACGAGTTGCGGGATCTCTTCGAGCGTTTCGGTCGTGTCACCAGAGTCTTCCTTGCACGGGATCGGGAAACGCAGAGAGCCAAGGGCTTTGCTTTCATCAGCTATGCGGATCGTGGCGACGCCGCACTTGCTTGCGAGAAGGTGGATGGCTGTATGTCTTCAATATTCCGTTTGGTGGTTTTCTTTCTACAAGTTCCTCGAGTGCTAACCTGTTTCTCTGCTAGTCGGTTACCGCCACCTTATTCTCCGCGTCGAGTTCGCCAAGCGCACTACTTAAACTTCTTTCTCGGTTCTCTCTTACGACTTTTTGAATGGAACTTTTCCCTCTTCTCAGGCGGGCCTATCTTTGGGCCGAAGCTCTTTTCCTTGTACTGTAGGACCTGGTTGATAATGATGATTCCCAAAAAGACATTCAGCATGTCAGTTACTTGCATTCGTCAGTCTACACAAAAGCAATGGGTTAGAGAAATTTTGAACTTCATACATGGTTTTCTTGGTAGTTTCACAAGTCGTACTCTCATCCACGGTAGCTGTTGTTCTTTGCTTTTTTGATAATCCTTCCATGGTCCTTCTCGAAACAACTGTTCTATAATTGCTTCACGGCTACCATGGAACATTTCAAGAACACCCATGGGAAACCAACCCCGTGCTTGACGACGTCGTAGAAGCAGCATGTCTGCTGAGCCAATTCACCAACGAGCGTTTCATTTGTTATTCGATGTGCGAATCAGCATGGAAATGAAGATCATCCTTGGATTGAATTTCGTTTCAGCGTCCACTAGACAAGTTTGTTAATGCGCAATTTCCCTCGGAAAGAGCTCAAATTGACTCAAGCTCCTAACACCAATTCATGATAACAGTTGATGCTAACCCAGGCACGCTAGCCAGTCGACTCCTTGCAAGCTTTCTCTCGCTACTGACTCCAGCCTTGGCAAATTTCCACATCTTTCCATCCTCCTAGCCAGCACAGATCCTGATGCCCAGGTGCCAGACTCGGCTGACAACAATCCTGCACGCCGTTGACGGCGAAACTGTCATCTGGAAGATAAATGCCGCAGGCCTCGACTGTTCGATTGTTTAAAGTCTCCAGGGATTGCATTGACACATCGAATTTTCTGCATCTTCGCATGACAGTGGAGATGACATCGGAAGGAAATGCACCTCAAACAACCTGGACTTTTTTCCTATTGTGCCCTAGCTTCATACTACTGCGTACTATCTACGCCCCCGGGTGCCAGATCCCAGGGTCAATCACCAAAGTACCAATGTACAGATCGATATTAGATCTCAGCAAGTCAAACCCAGACCCAGCCTCGTCGGCAGAAGTGTCGTCGAAATTTCCCGGTAACGGGATTGGGTTGCATAACGTAGCATCGGTGTTTACTTTAGGAAAGAGACTTGAATCGGCGTAAAAAGCTTACCTACGGGTCCGGCCTTTCGCCGAATGCTCCCCTACTCGAAACAAGACGGGCTGCATAGACAATGACGGAGAGAGCCGAAATGTTCAACTGTAGCATTGGCCCTAGCTCCCTCGGAAACTCGCACCAGCCCACTCTGTGATTTAGCATTTCACTGCGCCACTGCGGCTTCCAGTATCACAACCAAAACACATGTGAAGGGGTGGTTCGTGACGTTCCGAAGTCTTAGTGGCATTGCATGGAATGTCGGCGCCAAACAACGTAATCAACTTGTCATTGGCTCGAGGAGTTCGACCAGAAGGGCAGTTCTTCGCTGGGGGGGCGTTTCGGCCGGTGAGCAAGTTTTTTCTTGGCTGTTCCTCCGTGCTACATCGACACGGCTTCGGGTTGGCTGGGCTACTCTCAGGATGGTTGTCAAGGGCTGGTAGGAATTGCCGCGGGGAGGCAAAAAAAAACGGCCGAATGAGTTGTTGGATGATGAGTGGAGTCTCCAACTGGTCTGCATCCAACGCCATCCAAAGCATATTTCCTCGCCTGATAAGCTTTATATCCAGAATTTTGGGGGGCGGCGAGCCAATGACACATCCTTCTTTCTATTGCAATCCTTGTTTGGTGGGTGCCTTGTCTTTCCATCCATGCCGACAGGGTCAGATACTTCACACGTTGATGGAACTTTTTACCCGGGAGCTTCGTGGTCGTGATACGATCTGTGCTGGCGGGCTGTAGATCCAGGGTGATCAAAGTTTGGGATCACAGGGTGGGGAAACCGCCAATGATCATCCCAGTCTCGGGGCAAACTCTTGCATTCGCTGACAAGGAAGTCGAAGGTGAAAGGATCTTCCCAATTTCCCACAGCAAGACATCTAGCCCATTGTAGTAGGCTATCAGTACCCATCTCTACTTTCACTAAAAGTAACCACCAATGTCGGAAGAAGTGATACACAAGTAACCCATCACAGAACCTTGTGTCCGGACGACCCAATACCAGGAATTGTGGAGCCATAGAGGCCTGAACTGCTTAATCTCCATGATTGAAAGGGCAGGGTCACAAATTCGGGTTGAAATCGTACCATTGCCGTTGAATGGATGGGTTAGCTCGATGTGGTATGAGTCTTGAGATGGGTACAAGATAACTAGTTAGTTAGATATTGTTACTAAGTAGAATTAGATAAATCAATTCTTTGCCCGGTCAAGGCCGGTGGATGTCTCGGGATGGAAGGGAAGAAGCCCTGGAGACCTCCGCCGTTGGGAAAGTAAAACTTTAATCTGTCTTGTCTCAGTCAAAGGCAGCAAAAAAAAAAAAAAAAAGCTATTTGTCTTCGGATATGAGGATGTACCGACTCTTTCCTTACTTGGTAGTCATTTTCCAGGAATATCTCTCCCCGACATACGTGGGTTTGAAACTCTAGAACCCAATCGACCAGGATTAGGGTATTGAACATGAGCATATGGGTCCACGGGGCGTGTCGCATCCTCAGATCCTGGAGCAACGAGCATATGGGGCTGAGGCAGCAAAGACAAGGTGGATAAACAGTCTAGAATGACACTCTAGATCTGTACTGAGGTTAAGTTGTCAGCCAATGACTATTTTTTTTTTTTTTTTTTTTCCTCCTTTTGATTTTTAAATTTTCTGTAAAAATCGTAAATACCCCAATAACATGGTTAAGTGAGCAATCCCGACTCCGGGATGTAGTTATAGCTCAACGTCTACCGTTGCCTAGTAGGCCGAGCTGTAGCTTTTCACACCCCTGTTCAAAGATCGAACACCCGAATGTAACCAGCAATGGAAGGCATAGCAATGGCCACGGGCTTTGTTATTGACCTGCAGTGAAGAATTGTTGCACGGGAAATATATTTTTTTTGTTTTTCTTTTATTTTTTTAGAAGATGCCAACCATGGGGAAAACTGACTCGGTAGATGGCACGTGCCCGAAACAGACCCTAAGGCGGATTGGGCTGAGACAAGTTGCAACGTCAAATTTTTCAAAGTTTTCTAGCGTCAAGGGTTCTGAGGCTAATCCATGTCGATAAAATCCAGAGATGGGTTCATGCATTTCCCTAAAAGTCAAATTATTATTGGCATTGGGTTCGAGGTACCTGCAGTGAGCCCTGGATGTACCCACGTATCGGACAATTTCTGAGCCCTGGTTTCTCTTTCTGTATCTCATCTCCTCGGTAGTGATGTGATCCCTGTCTGAGCAAGTAGGACTGATATATATCGAAAAGTGACATGTGGATAGTTCACGGGTAAGTGGGCAGATAGATCTGATAGCGTCTTTTCGAGTTGCATTATTAGTTGCATGTTTGCATGTTTGCATGATAAAATGATTTGTGATGATTTGATTTCAATTAGAGTTGGTCCAAGATTCCAATAGTTCCTAAATATAAAATGAAGGTCTGAATTTAACGTGAACATTCGAAGATATATGTACTCCACCCTACGGCCCTATTAGTAGGCTCCGAGATTACCAGTGTACTGACCAAGGTATATTGTACATGGTCCATCCACCAATTGATTATTACCACCCCATGTATCTGATACATGTCCCTAATGCCTGTAAATTTCCTGTAACCAGTTCACCGCCCCCTGCACGTGTTAAAACCCCCATGACCGTCATCCGGGAAGGGGCTGATCCCCGAGAGTCGAAAAAGAAAAGTCATCTACTAGACATGCTCGTCACCCTCCTTTAATTTTTTGATTTTGTGATTCGATAGTATCATTGATCGTACTTTTTTTTTACCCTGATACAGTTAATCAATTCTGCACCTAGTACCGATTTTGGTACGAGCACGGTCGTTGTTTGTGGCCCTGTGGGGGGGAAATAGCTGCACAACATACCCGCCATAACTATTGAGGGAAATGAATCTACGATTTATCCAGCCAATCATTGGCTTACGGGTGCTTTTTCACTGCACCTTGCCATCTCACCCAGCCTCTTGCGGGATGGTCGATCTTGCGCTAGCCACTAATGTGGTTCTGTCGACACGATCAGTATCCACTAAAAGGCTAGGATCTTTTTGAATCCATGACCTCCCCACCCCCCCCCGACCTCCCCTTGATATTTTCTTGGGACGGAACGGTGGGACTAGTGCCGCTACGGTTCTGGAAAAGGTTCCCGGGTACGGACCGCAATCATTGTCTACCCCGCTAGGCTGCTTTAACCTCTCGAGTGGTGGAGAGAGCCCCCCCTCCCTCTCTCCCCCATCTGCAGTTAAGACACCATTACAGTTTGGCACCAGAAGAAAATTCGGGCTTACCAAAAGCTCTGTTGGTTCTCTTTCGGAGTGTGGTGGATCTAGTTGAGTGCATCGTCTCGAACATGCTATTTTTATTGCTCCGTCGGGTCGGGTCGGTTCTGTCGGTGTTCACACCGCCAACATGGACCATGCAACATGCTGAATGGAACTTGTCGATCGCACGATCCGCCACTTTCTTCATGCAAGAACTGCTGCTCGTGCCTCGAGCCTCCTACGGCTTAAAGAATCAAACTAGAAAATGAACTTGGGAACTACTGTGATGGACCACCAAAAACATTATGGAATTCAGTAAAGATTGTCTACCCGATTTGGTCACTTTTCATATTTAATTCACCCTTTTTGTCATTGGTCTGTGGTCTTCGCCCCCCAGTCTGATACATCAACCACCTCCATCATGGGTCTGTATATATTGTAGGTACATATCCTGGGAGGGTCGATCATCTCCTGTATCCTTTCTAGTTTCATCTTATTTCGTTCTCCTGCAGTGACCCGTCTGTCGGGTATTCGCACTAGGACATCTGATCGCATCGAGAATTCTCTGTAACTAATGGAAAACACATACAACGTGTACGTACGGTGCCCTTACCCACCACGGTCCGTGCAACGGGCATCGGGTCCTTCTAGCACGCAACATAGGGTGTTCTGACCAATGCCATCCTCCTTGAACAATCAAACTATATGGGGCCGGTGATTTGATGCTACTCTCTTTTACTATGGAGATACACTAGACTATTCGCGCTTGACCCGGACAACCAAAATTCCAAATTCAGAACTTCCAAACACAAATCATTGAGAATAAGAAAAAGAAAATATATAATTTTTACTTTACTTTTTTCTTTTTTCTTTTTTTCTTTTTCTTCCTCAAGAAGACTGACTATACCCAGAGGGTATACACAGAAAATGATCATGATAATCCGGATCTCTTTCGCCGATTATGGTTGGACCCCTATGCAAGCAAACACACTGCCACCCATTGGAGCCTTGCCGAATACAACGTATTTCACTGTCCCTGGCAGATCCCAACTCGTGGTTCTGATCGCCTATCGGCTAGTCCATCACTGGTGAGCCCCCTCCCCGTGGGAGCCTTACTAGGGTAGACTAATGATCCTTCAAAGAGTAACAATCCCGAGAACGGCTTTAAACAATAATGTAGACCGGAATCATTCATTTTGTAGAAGGTCTCAATTGCAACCTTTTTTTCTCTCTCTTTATTTCCGAGGACCATAAAGATTCAATTGTATACGTCTACTGTACACTACGTGCACTACGTGCACTACATACACTACACACCACATCTGTTCTTAACACCTCACACATATCCTCTATTTATCAGGTAAGCCACCGATCTACTTCCTGCAACCTGTCAAAAGAAATGATTCCTTTAAGATCTACTATGATTTGACCATGCTTCTTTCTTAAATACCAAGCTAGGGTTGCAGAATTGGAAGCATTCTTTCTTTCTGCAATACCTGCAAGATACTTAAGGGACAAGAGCTTTTTATTTGCTCAACCTCTAGGGTTGTCACACTAGATTACATCAGTTGTCTTTTTTCTTTTCCCCTTCTGGAGATCTCCTTTTTTATTTTATTTTATTTTATTGATATTTTTGAGATTTACTTTGGTTTTTTATTTCTTTTTATTTACTTTTTTTTTTTTTTTTTCACTTTGCCCCTCCGTTAACTGTGATTGCTGCGATTTGTATGATTGTTATTTTCTGTTATTTTCTGTGATTTTTGGGCCTTTTGATTGATTTTTTTGGTTAATTCTTTTCTCCCCAATCTTCTTTCTTCATACGCACCTCCCCTCCCCCTCCCCCCTCCATATCATCTTAGATCGTGGGTTTGCAAAGAACATAGATTCTGGCCCGATCTATTTAAACACTCCTTGTACTTTTGCACCCATGACTTAAGTTGATGTGAGATTACCCAATTAGGAAGTCATGTCTATAAATCGGTGACGCACTCCTTTGGCTCGGACATTCATCTACTTCTTCTTGTCAACGCCTTGTCCAAAAGGGCACTGCTTTACGCACCGTTTTACTGAGAATCCTACATATGTATTACTCTTCACGCTCATCTTTATAACCCTGAAGACCTTTCCTATCTTCATTTATACTTCTTCACTCTTTTTCCTTCACTCCAAGCTTTATCACTTGCCTTTCCCCGAACTACTTTCTTACTGTGTGAATTGTGTTTTGGTTCATATCCAAGACTAAGAGCTGTGTTGATTCTGTTTCCTGTGATCCTCATAGGCTTCAAAGTACACAACCCTTTTCAGTGATTCCGGACACTAAAGGTATCAATCGAGTACTGTGAGGGAATTTGACTATGCAGAGAGTTCTTCATTGACCTTACCTAACCTTTGCTGCTATTCTAGACATCAAGTTTATTGCCACCCCAAGAACTCAAGGCCTAGACAGCTTTGGCGTCTCGCCCGGTGTTACATCGAATAACCAAAAGAGAAAAAGAATATAAAAAAAAAACCTTAGGGTCGTCGAGGCACCTGGAATCAGCAACACTCAGGATGAATCCCTGTACGCTTCTCTTTTCTCATTCCCTGTTCATTCCGTCATGCGGTTGATTCAACATTATTTTTCTATTGGCATTTGTTTTCTTTTTCTTTTTTTACCTTTTCATTCCAATTTCTTGTTTTGGTACATATATCTTCCCTGTCTCTATCTAACCTATGAATTCCCCAGCACTTCTCTCGGAGGTATTCTCATTGAATGATCCTGTTACTTCGGAGGGTGACTATATGAGCTCCCATGTGACCGGGTTTGGAACGGACGAAGACGACAACAGCCAACGAGTCGGAGGTCTTGTCTCTATGCCTGACACCAACGGCGTGAGGTACCACGCACAGCAGCCTGTGATGCAGGATTTACAGTAAGTTAATTTTTTTTTTTTTTTGCTATTCTTTTCTATTCTTTCAATCTTTCAATCCGGACTTGCCCTTGCGCTCCACTCGGTCAGCCTCTCGACCCCCTTGTCGCTGCACTTCCTCCGGGTCCGGGCAGCTTGAACTTCAGGCCAGCCTATTTCTGTACCTTCCATACCAATCTGCTGCCTGCATGTCTTTCTTCCGATGTTTTGTCCTTTTTATCTGAGCTCGTGCCGTTGAGGGTCCTTGCCTCTTTTCGCCCCCCGTTTCGATTGTCTCTCATTTTCTTTTCTTTTAACGCATCATGGTTTTTCGTGCTGCGCCCGGACTCATACCATATCTTCTGGACTGTTTTAATTCCAGGCGATCGCACGTGGATTCCCTATGAGCTTTGACTAAAGCCAATTCCTTACTTTAGATATTCGGGTTCGAGTGCTCTTGCAATGACTCCACCAGACTCTTGTCCCGGTAAGTCCCCCTCTTTCTCATACTTCATACTCCCCGAAGAAATCTTCCTTTTGACTGATGAAAATTGTGGTGTTGTAAAAGACTCATTTTCGCCCACATCTGGTCCCCTCTTCCCTCATCTCTCTCGGCTTCAGCATCCCTTTGATAGAATGGCAGACTATCAACGGGTGCCAGCGCTGTAAGCTTTCGCTCTACTATAAAGTTGGATGAGGTTCATGAGTACTGATCTTTGCCCATCTAGTCAACCGCCGACCGGCATGCCATCCAATATGCAAAGTTCAGGACATGCCTTGAACTCCATTCCAGCACTCATGGGACGCAATAATTCCTACGGTTCGTACGCTTTACAGCGCGGAATCGGAAATATCGGCATACCCTTGGGAGGAATGAACGATCTCTCCCGTAGCCATGGATATCCTGGCACTCCTCGCGCTTTAGATAGCGGGATGGATCGATCTCAGAATACTATGTATCAGCAACCGATAGTGGAGTCCTCACCACGCTCACAACCCCAGGTTGAGGCTCCGCCCTTTGACGACACGACAGTTCTTCATACAGTTGTGGCAGAGTTTGGTGGCCAATATCAGACAGTGAAACCAGACGTCCAAGCAAAAATGGGTCGAGGGCCCTTTCCAGCTGAGGGCAAGTGGACTTGCTATCGCCGCAATTACTTTGCAGTGACCTGCGGCTTCGGTCTTCATCCTTGGCCTCCCACTGCTCCCCTATACATCCGCTATCCTGACCAGACCCTTGAACCAATCCGTGGATTTTCAATGGCGATTTCAGCTATTGTGAACGGGCAATATGGAGAAACCCGAGAACTTGTTCAACACACCCCAAAGCGAGACAAGCAATCCGAACGCAAACCAGGTCGTGTCGTTCTTCAGCCTGCACCGCCACCTTCATTCACAGCAACCTCGTCAGTTAATGGAAGTCTTTCCGGATTCCCCCTTGGCTCGCAATCTATGGACTACAACCCTTCCTTCGCCGGGACACCTCAGCCGTGCCAGCCCCCAACTTCCCACGTATTCGAACGCATCCAATTCCAGAAAGCGACTGCCAACAACGGCAAGCGCCGCGCTCAGCAACAATATTATAATCTGGTCGTTGAACTGTACGCTGAGGTTGCTAGCTCAGTTCCCGGTGAAACCGAGTGGGTACAGATCGCCCGACGCCACTCCCACCCCCTGGTCGTCCGCGGACGTTCACCCGGTCACTACAAGGACGGACGCCGTGGCAGTACTGGCAGTATGGGCCCGGATGGGGCTGGTGGAGACAACACCTGCGGTGTTCTTCCTCACGGGCTGGGCCAAACGGGTCGTTCACACATGCTCATGTACGACGCATCTCATCGAAGTGGTCTTTCTTACGGCAGATCCGATCATCGCAAAATGAATGTCGCAGATCATTCCCCCTCAGCGACAGTCCTCTCATCTCCTCCTCTTCTTCTTCTGGGTTCGAGTACTCAATGATTGATACCATGGATCCCATGGATACCATCAAGTCCGACCTTTACCTCAAATCAGATCCCTATCAGGATAATACCTATACAGGGGTTCCTGGCCACCAACACCGCCAGTCTAGTAATGGTGGATACGACCCCGTTTACTCAACAACTTATAGCCGTTACGATCCTATTCAGAATTCGCATAGTCTATGCACTTAGGCTGTGCCTTTTCATTTGATTTTTGTGTCTTGGTTTATCTGAATTATGTTTCTTTTCGTGTTTTATCTTTTTTTATTCTTTTTTTTTTTTTTTTTTTTTGCTATGATCAAATGGGAAGGGGGTTTAGCACTGGTGCAGGACGGCGTGGGGGGGATCATGAGGCCATTTCTATTCGTTGTTTTATTTTTACTTATTTTTTCTATTTTATTTTATCATATGATTGCTAGTTGGACTTGGTGGCCTTGATTTATTTCATTGTGATCTATTCTTTTATCCCTTTTGAGTCAATTCGGAATTTTTACTCGAGATATTGTATCTCGTTTCTTTGAAAAAGAGAAGCATACAGAATGCCATTAAAGAGCGTCCTCAGAAGCAAATCACAGAATATCCTATCGAATAGAACCGATTGAATTAAGATCTGGACTTGAGATCATAGTATCTTGATAATCATAGCTAAATTGACATTGACATGATTGTCTACTAAGTATTGATAAAAAGCCCATATCATAATGAAACCAAATATAGTATACCAACAACACAATCAAAAAGCAAAATCCACCTGCACACGGAGTACCCAGTCCAACATTCGAAACTCCCCGATTTGCTCTGTTCGATAGCCAGGAACCGTTATTTGCTGCGGTCCTAGTCCTAGTCCTCATCTATTGCAGGGTTCCCAGTCCTGTTTTCAATGGATATGGACTTATGCGGCCTTTGCCTTGTTTCTTTTTTTTTTTTAAAAAAAAAAAAAATCTTTTGTTTGACTTCTACTTATTTTCTCTCTCTTTTGCTATCCAATTAAAAACATGAAGCAAGGACCGGTAATTTGCTTCTAGGACTCACACTTTTCGTGTCTGATGACTACATGAACGTCCCAGAAGTAAGCGGACATGGGTTGCCCGACTGCGGGAATGATTGGGTTGAGTTTATTGAAAGTCTATGCAAGATTAAAGGGCTTAGTGTGGATTACTTGATTTTACTGGGATTTGGTTTTTTTTTTTTTTTTTTTTTACTTCATTCAGAATTCTCTTTTGCTTTTTGGGGAGGCTCCGCGGTCTTGAAATCAAACGAAGTAAGGTGGGTACTATTTCCGTATTGTGTACTTTGTATGAAGTACTCCGTGCAGATAGAGAGAGAGAGAGAACGGTAAGATGCAGAATGGATCAAAAGAGTAGAACCAATTAGAGTGATGAGCAGCAGTTTGTAGGGTTTATAGTCTTGGATATTGTCCAAGGTTGTTTTCCTGCTAGGCAGCAGAGATTGCCTTATAAAACAAGTAAAGTAAAGTAAAGTAATATAAATGAATTTTTAAGTTGGTCATGCTTTTATACCATGAATATATTAAATATATTAAATAGTTATACTAAATATACTAAATATACTAATATATCATATGTATTAAAGTATTAAATGTAAGAAATCGTTAGATGCAGATCCTGATCGACAACAGTGCAGGTGATGCTTCATTACCATGTACATCAATGTACATGTCAGCTCAGCCCTGTTTTTTAGCTATGATAAAAGATTTAACAAAATTCAACAGATATTCCCAATCTAAGGATATCAGGTGAAACAAAACAGGCTTTGGTGTGACCATCAATTTGATCCTATGCTTTGGTAAAGAGTCAAATAGATGTGTTGTTGATTCAATGTCTTCATGTCTCCAATGAAATCTAGCTCGTGTGTCAGGTTAAATTATATTTTTAATATTTTTTAAATAAGAGATCCTCGTATCATCCAAGCCTCCCTGCACCTCGGCATATTCCGATGTTTTAAACACTCTGATCCCTGTCAATAACATCCCCTGTGATCGACCGGGGTAGTAGCGTCCATATGTGGTAAGTGGTTTGAGAGATATACGGAGTATGTTCAGGATTAGAAAAAGGGTTTTATTATTAGAAGTCACATTTATTTTATTTGTCTATTATTTTATTTTTTGGACTTTAATCTGAACCCATTTCAAGTCTAACTTCGTTGGTTGTTGGTATATACATAGTACCGTGTTTTACCACCGGAAGGAAATAGTTGTAAATATATAAAACCATGTTGTATTTTTACTTAGTACTTTGTTTACTTAGTTTTACTGAGAAAAACGAAAACGAACGCTCAGATACTTGGGGTAAGTTCAATATCATTGGTTTACTCATAACCGGTTGGATAGGTACTTCTGCACGTCGTACAAGGGAAGTCAGGCAAAAGGACAATCTTAGGCGCTTGGGGTTTCTTATTTCTTATTTGATATCTTGAATGAACTCTCCTACTCTGGTCCATGGTCATGCTGGACATTTTGATATACTGATACTTTATTGGTATTTACACTTTAAAGTATATGTACCCTAATCATCTACTCTTTTACGCTAAGATTAATTAGATTGATCAGATTAATCAGGTTCATCATGTTCATCATCTTAATCATCTTGACTTAAATATCTCTACTTCATGACTCATGTCATTACAGCAGCAATGACGTGCTAGTTATGGCCTGACCGCCGTACTTGCTATTGCGGTCAAGCAGGTTGCATTACTGTCCTGTTGCCTTCTGCCTTCTGCTCCTACGTTAATCTACAATCTACTTGGATATCAAATATAGAATATGACACTCTCGGTTTGATCCTTTTCAACGGTTTTCAATTCAAATATCGAATGATCCTTGCGGCCCCTGCCGCTTCCGCTGCGCCCTCGACAACTCCCTACGTATAGTGCATATAAGTCCTTTCCTTGCGTATCTCATCTACCAAGCCTCATCTCACCGAGTACTGAGCTCTGTAAAGTCCTTGTTTGGCGTTCGGTGTCACTCTTTTACCCTCAATCTGCCCTTCTTGTAATTCTGTAAAGAATACACATTGCTGGGGCTGGCTGAGAGTCTCAGATATCTCCACACAAGATTGGGAAAGATAGTTTGCCAGCCATAAAATACTCAATGCAGAAATTGCTGGCTAATAATAAAAGCGTGCCAGTGAATCCCGGGAAGCGCATTTTAAAGATTAGGCTTACATAGAAACGAGACTATTCTTGGAGGTGTTATAGCAAGGTACAAGCCTGGAGCAATGGACCCCGGGTTGTCAGTACGACGATAATCAACCCTATCTGCCATCAAGCCAAGATACTATGTGTTCTTAAGACTTTATATTTAGCCCAATCATCCCGAGCGCGATATCTGTCTCTGTTGCCCAAGTCACGTGGGCATTGACATCTGCATGAACACCTCCGCGATCCGATCTATTTCTTATTTCTTTGCTACCGCAGACCGAATGACCTAGTCCGTGAGATGTCTGCTCCACTACCAATCCTCGCCACTGTCTTGGACGCATTACGTGCTAGGAAGCTAGCACCTATGTATAGTTGGCTATGTTCTAATGCACCTGATCATTCATTCCCGATCGAGATATGGATCAGCCCAACTGTCTACCACGGGCCTTGCTTGCAGTACTATCAGCCATCCAGGGAGGATGGTCTCTATCTCCGTGTTCCACCCCAACGGCCTCCGAGTATGGTGCTAGGCTTGTCTCACCCGGAATAAAAACCCATGACCGGTCTATAGATCTTGTGCGAGGTAATATTTTAAACTAATATCGTTTTTTTACGAACATGATCTCATTTATGGTATCTAACTATGGAGAGAATAGGAGTATGTAGACGTAATCATCGAGATTGGCATGAGGAAAAGTTCATATGGATCAAATCCCCGATTACCCCAATTGATGAGTGTCGATCTTTGGGATGCACAAGATATCTTTCAAGGTAAAGGGGTCCCTCGTGCTACACTGTAAGTGATATCATAAATCTCCAAAAAAAAAACGCTTCTAGCGCCGCTCGTGTGCCCATCTGAAGTCTTCTTGCTTCAAGAGCGTTATGATATAAAGTGCTTTGGTAAGATTGTTTCACATTGCCTTGGCAGAATATATAACTTCTAGCATCCAATATGATGTATTATAGCCAATGCAACATCAGGGACTAATTCAAATATTCGAGATGTTGAGCATGACTACAGTATAAGCTATCCTAGACACACATATTCCAAATATCTCCCTATAATACGACCCCATGATCAAAACATCCCAAAACAGGACATCCCAACATTGAAACATTGAAACAAAGAATCACTAACAACCCCCAATCCCAACCAGACCAACTACCCCTCGCATCACTTTCCCATTCGGACAAAAACGAAATGTCGGAAATTAAAATCGACTTCTAATTGGACTATCGAGATAACAACCAACATGTCACGATCCAGACCAGGCTAAGCAACGATCCACCCTCTCAGCCGCAGCAATTCTTCCGAGCCACATGAATCTCCAACCAATGCCCCAGACAGGAAATTGAGGGGGGAAACGTCCGCACCAGGTGAGGCTAGGTGGGGAGAGACGATCGCTGACTGCAGCAGCCCGATGCTTCCCTGCGCTGCGAACAGAGCGGTTGGAGCCAGGGTCGTTGCAGCTGCACGGACTGGCGTGGGCGTGAGCGTGGGAAATGACAGGGTAAGGTACGTATTATCAGGCCATTCCCTGTGGTCTTTCCGATGGGGACGTGCACACGCAAATTAAGTCTCGCAGATGTACATGGGGGCGTCAGCCACTGGCCATTGACCACTGCTTGTTTGCTTGGGTGGTTTTCTTTCTTTCTTCTGGCTTGGCGGGACGCGCGAAATCAAGACAAACAGTGGCAGGGTGCTTCGCTATGACCGCTTTCCAGAGGTACATACATAGTAAGTGACTTTCCGGCTCCGACAAACCGGGTCCTCTTTTGAATCCCGGAGTCCCGATGCGTTGAGATGGATACTCCGTAGACAAGTGCAGTATGTAGGTAGGCAGTTAAATGTTTAGACATCGGGCACGGGCACGGGCGCAGGCAATTGCAGCAATGCAGCAATGCATCGCAATCACAATATTGCAATTGAGATTTCGGGGGAAGGTAGACTCAACAAGATATCCGTATCTAGGGAAAGACTTCCTTCCACACCAGCCCGGCAGTCGGCAGTCTGCAATAGACTGCCTTCCCTCTGCGCCCTTTTCTGACCAGTCGCGTTCAACCCCATGGTTCCGTAAAACTGCACCCATGACTCCCGTAGATAATGCACAGCCGACCACAAACCACACCCCGTAGCTATCGCCATCACCAGCTCATGGATCGATCACATGAGCACTGGAGTTCCGTTCTCGCGCGTCGTCTGTCGTCGCCTCAATTGTTCAGTTTGCACGGGTGTCCGATGTCTCTCCTTCCTCACCGCCGATACGCGAGACGCGCACCGCCAACTTCCGATCCAGCGCTTCCTGCTCTTCCTTTGAGGGTTGCATGCCCAAAGCGTTTTCTACCCCAGGTGTGGTCCAGAGTCCGATGCCTGCCCAGGCCATGACGCCGATACCGAACAGGGCCCGGGTTTTGGGGGTGAGGCCGCGGTAGGAGCTGTGAAGCTTGTTAGTTTCTTTCTTTCTTTTGTGGTCCGAGTGTTGGGGTGTGTGCGGGGGTTAGTCGGTTTAAGGCTGTGTGACATACCTCCAGAGAGACATCTGCACTGAGAATGGAAGTATTGTAGTCTTGGAGGGAGATACTAATGGCAATGTGTGACTTCAATGTTGGCTTTGCTACTTTGACGGGGAGAGTCACGTGGAGATACATACACTTTCGGTCACGGGATTATTTTGGTACCTGAGGCTAGCAGTCCCCTGCATACTATCCAGCTGTCTTCCAAATCTATTGGGCATATCAGTCATGCGTGTCTACCGTAGTAGTCTAGTACAAGGTAATGAAAATGTAAGTGTGTAATCAGTGATCAGATAGAAAAACTAATCTCAATCTAGGATTATTTCCCTCGTCGGTCTGTACTAGGGTAGATCACCAGAATTGGAGATCCCAAATGAACTCCGCGAGCTCCTCCAGCTGTTTCTGTGAGAATTTCAAATCTTCCTCCCGTGGACAGGATGGTGGGCGACAGACTAGACTTTCAAACGAGATGATAAGAGGATGGTGACTAATGTTTATCTGGTTTCCACGCTTGGTAATCCAGATGACTTGGGAGCGATGAATGCGGTTGTTCTTGTTCTCCCACTTCTCAATCTGGATTTCTGGCTGGTACCGACCAATCTGAAGTGTCAAACATACGTTTGCTTTTCCATCGTCAGGATTGAGCCAGAAGCGCACATCGGAGTTTAGTTTGGCGTCATTTCCCAAGTATGCTACTTCGATAGTAACGGATGGTGAACGAGATATCCCACGAGCGGTCCTTCTTGGTCTGACTCTCCATCCAAAGTTTGCCTCTTTTCCGCGGGACGCTTCTCTGGCCTCTACATATACACATCCTCTGAGGGAATCGGACAACCCCATCGGGTCTGTGACCCTCATCATCATAGTGTTTACAGCGTAGGCCACCCCACCGTGTGGAGTTGACGGTATCCTGACCAAGAAAAGTTGTTCGTTGGTGTCAAATGAAATGATGTATCTCGCGACGGGAGAAGCGTAGTCATTTTCGAGGAGGGTATCGATGGTCTCTTTGCTTGCATGAAAGAGGAGGAATTCGCTTGCGTGGGGGGAGGCTTCGAAACGAGCGGGTTCGGTTTTCAAGATGTCAAAGAAGTCTGACTCCCCGCGGTATGTATATCGTTTGATCGAAGAGGGAAGATCTTGGAGGAAGCTGCCACTGAGACCAAGCTCGTAGTTGCCATTTTGCATCTGTAGTTCGGCCATATTGAGATAGGAGAGTACGATGGGAATTATAGATGGTAGATTTAAAGATTTCCTTTATGAATTTGGAAAGTATAGGGAGGTTACTTCATGATGACTTTGACAAGGCGCAATGAACCGTAGAATGTGTAGCCAAATGCACGAGAAAATCCCTAATGCACTATCCTTTGGCGGTGTTCTGTTTCGAATTGCTACTAAGTAGTCATTGAACGCTTGGATACCCTCCAGGTGCTCAGTGGCTTTGCTAAATTGAGTCTCTAGTCCCAGCTGCGTATGAACCTGCCATTTGTCGTTTGGCAGCACCGTGGGCCAGATAGTTTTCAGGAGGAGAAATTCTTCTTCGACCACCTTAGAGCCTGACTTGAATGGGCCTCTGGTGTGGACGCTGATCTTCGAGTTCATCCCTTTTCTCCGGGCTGTTGCTTTCCATTTGTGGATATCTGACGGGACATTGGCCGGCTGGTTTGGGGGCATTTCGGGCACTTCGGTCGTGATTCTTCTGCTGTGGAGCGGACGGTTGCTGGGTGAGGGGATGTAAATTGTGGCGGTTGCTCGATGTGCGGGTGAAGAAGGATGTAATGGCTAGAAAAGAATGTCTGGGAAGAAGTGAGAGGAGAGTGGTTGGGTTAATGGGAAAGAAAAGACTCAAGTACTAACACAATTCAGATCAAATTCAGATCAAATTCAGATTCAATTCAGATTCAGTTCAAATTCACTTCAGATTCAATTCAGATTCAATTCACTTTAGAAGTCCCTATACCTATATAGTGAATCCAATATTATACGTACTATGTTAGAAGGCTTCTTCCGTCTAAGAAGGGAGTAAGATCCGATTGTTATATACGATAAAACTCCTAGGCATACTACCTCTTGGTTTCTTCAAGGAGATTAGGGTTATTATGATAGAATAGCCTACCTTTTTACTTGATTTACTATGTCACGTCTTGCACCATGCAGAGCAAAAGTATAGGACCCAAATGGACCTAGGAGGGTCCCTCGGAGTGGACCTTCGGGGTCTTCGTACGCATATGAATGGTCTTCATATACCACACCTAAACCCCTCACAGATGAGCCTTGATGAAACCACCCGCGTTTTTGGACTGAAGAAATCAGTCTACCGTTATCCGCTTTGACAATTTCCAAAGATTGAGATCAACCTCCCGGAAAGATTTTGTAAGTGAAGTCACTCGTTATACCTTGGATTTCTATTAACTCCATATAATCAGTGCGTAACATCAATACTTTCGAAAGTCTTATTAAACGAGCTAAGAGCACAGAAACCAGGCTGAGATATAAACTCGACACGTTGATAAGCACAGTTTATCAAGCACTAGCTACACAAAACATGCTAGTAGACGGACCTACTATCACGCTGACGCATGAAACAACTGTGAGTTGGGGACCTGTCATATACAAAGACGAGCCACATCTTTATATAGGTAAGGCCGATTACAGCCTTTATTTTGGTGAGACAGATCACCTAGCTTGTCATGTTGTGATGATTGAAGCAAAGCAAATTGATGGCAAAGGCCACGGCCTGGCTGCCACACAACAAGCAATTTCGCTATTCAATGTCTACATTGTGTCGTTACTTTTGATCCTGTACTCGCACTATACAGCGTCTTAGCAGATCTAACGGTTCAAACGTAGCTTCTTTCATATCCCTAACTAATTAGTTAGGTAGTTATATGCATGTTGTACTTGTACTTCTGTGTGTATGACAGGTCTGCTGGTAGATGGGTGGATAAAGCAGTCATTGGAGATATCCTTGGATAGTTATACTACATGCTTGAACCATCTTAAGACGCCGGTTATTCTAATATCTTTGTCTTTTAGTCGGAGTGCATACTAAGGGGCCAAGGGCCATTCTTGGACCAAAAAGTATCCTTTAAACGGTGCCAGAAAAGGGGTCCATGGCCAATCAAAAACGCTCTCTGTGAAATAAGATGAAGCTAAGTTGATTATGATAGAAAACAAATCCGTCGCGAGGTCGATCAGTTCATGTCCACATTGATTACTATATCGTCTACATTGTGGCAGAAATGGAAAAGGATGAAGAGTCGTGGGACATGTAAACATAGATTTGAAAAAGTAGAAATAACAGAGAGGGTCTCAAAAAGCGCAAGCAAATACACGCAAGCAAATACAGCAGAGAAAAGAAAATTGAAGAAGAAAAAAAAGAAACAAGGGTGAAGGCTGAAAATCCAAGTGAAGCAGTTCGACACACTTTTCATTACTTCTTGCCGTAGGCCTTGCTAATTTCGGACTCGTAGCGGGTGAGGATCTTCTTGCGCTGGAGTTTTTGCGCAGCGGTCATGAAACCCTGATGTCTTGTTAGTAAAATTCATAATCCAGATAGCTCGAGAATCACTTACGTTTTGCGGGGTCCACTCGTCGTCAGATAACACAACACCGTTGATAATCTCAATGCCCCTCAAGCCACCAGCACGGCCGGCGGATTGCAGCTGCTGCAAGACGATCTTGTTGAGCTTTTCGTCGTGAACGAGGCTCTCGAGTGTGTCACCCTTGATGCCGTTCTCGTGGGCAAGCTTCTTTAATGCTGGCTCGGCGGGAACAATGATTGCGACGGGCTTGTCCTGGTCCTCGGCGGCGTAGACACAGATGTTTCCAACCACGGGAGACGAGCGGTAGACAGACTCGAGCTTCTCCAGAGCGATGTATTCACCGTTCAGGGTCTTGACCAGATTCTTCTTGCGGTCAATGATATTCAGATGGCCATTGCGATCGAACTCGCCAATGTCACCGGTCATAAACCAGCCATCCTCAGTGATCGCAGCCTTAGTCTCCTCCTCATTATCGTAGTAGCCTGAGGTCACACTGCCACCACGGATGAAAATCTCACCCCGAGGGGGGTGTTCGAGGTCAGATATCCAGCATCGGGGAAGTCAACGAGCTTGACCTCGATCGAGGCAGGAATCTCACCCAGGGCTTCGGGGTTCCAAGCTAAGGGGTCGTTCAGAGCACCCATGGCAGAGGTCTCGGTTAGACCGTAGCCGCTAATCATGGGGGCGATAGCCATTGACAAGAACTTCTGGGTGTCCTTGGAGACAGGGCCACCACCGTTCATGACAACACGGAGTCTGCCTCCGGTTGCCTCCTTTAGCTTTTTGAAGACAACAGCGTCCAAAACCGAGGCGCCCAGGTTCCCACCGGGGAAGCCGGTGCTCATGAGGAAACTCTTGGCCGACATGGCACCCCAGAACATACCCTTGACCACGAAGCTAGCCTTGTTTAGGTTGGCCAAGACACCCTTTTTCACTGATTCCCACACGGCCGGAACACCGACCAAAACGGTGGGCTTGAACTCCTTGATGTCGCCCAGGCAGTTGCGCATAGAGGCATCGGACAATGTTCGGGGGTTACCGTATCCCATGGTACCACCCCAGAACAAGCACAGGTTCTCGAACATGAATTCTAGAATGTGAGATTGGGGAAGGTAGGTCAGGAGGGAGTCCGTGTGGTTGATACAGGGACCGACGACGGTGTGGACACCAGCAGCTATTACGAGACATTAGTTTAATAGACAGTGGTTCCGGGAGCTCTTTTCGGCTTACTAGCAGCGATCACGTTGGCATGGGTCAATGGCACACCCTTCGGTGGGCCTGTTGTGCCCGATGTGTACATGATGCAGCACAGGTCCTCCGGCTTGGGGGGAACCGGCTCCACGAGGTTCTCCTCGCCCTGCTTGCGCAAGTCCTCGATGCTCTGCACGTTGAGGTGGATAAACTCGCTGTGTAACTGATCAAGAAGCTTCTGATCCATTTCCATGTCGGTGTTGTAGATAATGTGCTTGATGGAAGGCACGCTCCGGAGGATGCTAATGAGCGACGGCAGCAGGCCGGGGTCGAGGAAGATGGCAGTGCTGCCAGTTTGGTTGATAGAGTGCTTTAGGCCTTCCTCGCCTAGGGTATCATATGCGGTCACAATGGTCACGGACTGGGAGGCAGCGCCTGTAATAGTAGGTTAGTGCGCTTGTTCGCGCGTCGGGAAAATAAGGGTAAACCAACCGTGTGACATGGCCAGCCAGTGTGCGCTATCAAGGAGGATCAAGTCAGTCATCCTGCCCCGGATTTCCTTGCAGGCGCAATGTATCACTTACCTCGTCGCACCGTAGAGGTGAATTCTGCTGTCCTTCTCGAAGCCTAGCTTGCGGAGACCGCTACCAAGCTCTAGACAGAGCTTCTCATATTCGAGGAAGGTCTTGTAGGTATAACCACTCATTTCAAAATAGGTCCACTTCTTGTCAACCTCCTGCTCAACACCATCCACGATCTTCTTGACCTTCTTGTTCTCCACATGGGTCTTGATTAGCCGGCGGCTACCGACAGCTTTGGAGTTGCCGAAGACACGAGCTGACCGGCGCATATTCTCGTAGGTGGTAGAGACATCTTCGAGTGTCGTAATAAGACCGTCCTTGGCCTTTGGGTGTCGACGAGGGATTGTCTCACCGGAGACGCGCTCATATCCGGGCGCTTCGACCGAGAAAGGGCCCTTCTTGACCATGCGCGGCTGGAGGTGGATGTTTTGTACCGACATATTGACTGTATGTCTCGATCAAAGGGAAAGCGGAAGGAGTCGGGGTATCGAGGATCCTCAAAGAAAAGATCCTCTACTTGAGAGGGGGACGTTAGTTAACTAGTGCGGAAATAGCACGGAGCTAGGAAGGGGACAAAACACACGAGCTGTAGGAAGCTAGAGCAAGAGCTAGAATGGAAACCCCTTACCAAGTCAAAGAAGAGATGAAGAGATGGGAGTATTATAGTATTATCTGAGGCTTCCGGAGAAGAGAAGAGGGGAGAAGATGACCTTGAAAGGTTAGATATGTGGCTGGTCTTCCGGCAAATGACGCAGGAGTGTCCAAGGTTTTTCGGCCTTTCAAAGTTGCATACTCTCTCGCACGGAGCTCTTCCAAGGTACTTTTTAAGTGCTTTGTTTGATATTTTTTATTTTTTTTTATTTTTTTTTATTTTTGTTTATTTATATTATTATTAAAACATCTCATTTCAAATTAAAGCAATGAATAATAGTAAATCTAGGAATTGTATAGTTATTTACTATGTGGAAGTAAGTAGATCAGTTCCCGTTTTCCCTTTTTCTGTTGGGTTTCCCAACAATTCTATTAGAAAGTCATAGCTTTAAATAGCTCGAATAGAACCACGACAATGGGTTGGAATAGGCGTAAATAAAATATCACTATTGGATATCCTATACTTCATATACTTCATATAGTTACTTCATATAGTTATATACTCCGTACATACCTAGATATAATCACAGTTATATCCTTGGTCCCGTGATCCCTTAAAAAAAAATATAGATATATAACCAAATCAAATATGCCCCAGAAACCATCACGAGAACATCCATGGATATCAAACTCATGGACCAAATCATTCACTTACTCGCCAACGGCGAAGAGGTTATCGACGTGGATGAGGGTACGCCACCCCCGCATATATCTCCAAAAGTACTTCGTATACTAACTTAAAAAATCACTTAACTAACGCACTATAGAATCATTTCTCCTCTTCGCACAAGACATCCCAAGCAATAACCTAGGGATGCTCAATCCCCGTGCACCATCAGTAGAGATCTCTATCAATGGCAATGAATACACAATTCACCAATCACCATCATTACTCTCTTCCCATCGGGCAGGAGGTACTACAGGGGCCGGTAAGTACGGACTCCGGTACGGAGTACACAGCTCGCATGATCTACACCAGTTCCTTTGTGATTTGTCCCCGGAATCCCCAGAGACCATCAAACCCAAGCACGGACTTCTCCGCAAGTCTTTTACCCGAGTCCGAAGTGCCCAGACCAGGCCCCCGAGGGTCAAGGCGTCGAATTCTCAAGTCGTTCTATCCCGCTGTTTGTCTGTGCCTCGGCTCTCGGAGGATGAATGTCTCATTTGATTCGGACCCTGACACTGTCACATTATGCTTTTCTCGCTTTTCTCCCTCAAACACGAGATCAAATTGTCACCTGCTTCGTTATTCCTTGACTTTTCCCTTATTTATACCTCGGGATACCTTGGCGAACTTCCCGACTATATCCACAAAATCACCACCCACTTTCATGTTCACTGCAATCAATAACCATCCGTCCCGAAATTAGTTCACCACTAACCCTGCAAAAAAATTTTACACAGTCCTATGGAAAATTACCCCCCGATTCGCGGAATGGATAACCAATTCCTCAAACCCGCTCTGGACAACATCCCTCCTGAGCCAGATCTCAACAGTGGCCGAACTCGGGACCGGGATCTCAGCGCTAGTCGCCCTCGTCCTGGCCCCCTCCGTACGCCACTACATTGCCACAGACCAGGAATACGTGCGCAAATTGTTTCGGACGAACCTTGACGCCAATGCGTCCGTCGGTGTCCCTTCTAGCAACAGCAAAGCAAAAGGCAAGAACAAGGGATCCAAATCATCCAAATCCAAATCAAACTCAACCTCGACCGTCAAACCTGCTGATAATATCTCCTTCACAACGCTGGACTGGGAGACGGACCAGGCTGCCTCACTGAAGGAATGTATGAATTCCAACGAGGCCCATGGCCAGGATGAAGAGGAACAAGGGGAGGAAGATAAAGGCTTCGACCTCCTCCTTTCCTGTGACTGCATATACAACGAAGCACTCGTTGCACCGTTCGTGCGCACCTGCGCCGAGATCTGTCGACTCCGTCCGGCATATGTGGCTGGTTCTGGAGAACCGCGCCCGCGCCGTAAACCCACGGTTTGCATTATCGCGCAGCAGCAGAGGTCGCCAGATGTGTTTGAGACTTGGCTTCGGGAGACAATGCGGGAGTTTCGGGTTTGGAGGTTGAGTGATGATGTACTCGGGGAGGGATTAAAGAGTGGCTCTGGATATTTGGTACATTTGTTATTGGTCAGAGATAAATAGAGTACAGCTGTAGATATCTTAAGTACATATGGGATGGCTTTGTTCATATGTATATTGGGGATACATGCTGTTTAGGTGCTGTATATAGCCAACTTATGAGACCCAAGCTCCCCTTTTACTAAAATCACCAGGTATAACCTTGGAACCTTAGAGTGTACAGTGAAGTGGCCCCAGCTAGCGAGAACAATTGGATGAACATTTCGGTGCTAAAATTGAGGCCCTTAAAGAGGAATCAGACTGACATGGCTGAATGACATGGCTTAGGTTTCCAGACTTCTGATATAGATGAGTACTTTGATGTGGTTGATATTGTTGAGGTCTATTCCAGACCACCAATGAAACTTATCGGTGTCATTAGCAAACGCATCGGAGACAGATTTCGTCTTCTACAGTCTCGGCGGTCACCCTGTTTCTTGCACTGGCAGTAAAAAGCCCGAACGGTACTTTCTAGTAGGCATTCCTTTGTGTCACAATCTCCCGGTTTAGTACCCTCAATCGGCCGTGGATCTCACGGCAATTCACAAGTACAATAACAACAACACCGACTATGCGTTTTTATTTACCTCAATGGGTGGTACACGAGAAGAGGAATTGTTACAGTAGACATATATGGATGAACTCAGGTATGCTCAGTATGTATGAAATTAGTAGGGATTGATTATATGATATAATCACGCGCGACGTCAAGCTGCTATATCAAACCAAACAGAGACACCTAGACCACCCAGGTATAACGATAGGGTATATAGAAAGAGACAGTAGCTTGAAGACAGCATTCGAACCTCCAGGTACAGAAACAAAGAAATATAGATGTAACATGATGCAATTGATTATCATATCGAGAGCGCTGATATCTATAGACGCTCAAGAAATTATGTTGTAGTTGTATATATAATATATATATAGCCGGCGGAAATCGACATTGAAGATAAACATTACTCCGCAAGGACACCACTAAGGCTCCGCATTTTCTTTTTCCGCCATAGGCGGCGAGAATTCGTACTTGCGCTTCAACGGTACAGAATCAGTTGGCGTAGGAGATGGACCCTGAATACCCGATTCCGACGGTGGAAGTGTAGCCAACGCCTCTCTGGATTCTGTTTCGGGAGCACGGTCGATAATAGACGAGATGGATTGCTTGGTTGATCCGTTGACTGCGTGCTTGGGTGGTGTTGCTGAAGCGGGTTCGATGGGAGTGCCTTCTGCATCGGGCATGAACCGATCTAGAATTTCGGTTTTGACTCGGTAGGAGCCTTCGCGCTCGAGCTCGGCCTCCGAGTCCGAGTCCATGTCCTCGTAGTGCTGGTCGCCATCGTGGTCCAGGTGAATGGAACCTAGCGGGCTTCCTTCTGTTGAGCCTCGGTGGCTGTTCATGACTGGTGGGAGAGGAGCGTTCGGGTCGTAGACTACGCCGCAGACTTCGAGGGCGCGGGATTGGCTGCCCAGAGTGCGGTCTTTGTGTTTCTTGGTGAGATGGCACATGAAGCCGTGGAGGGTGACGAAGTCGGATTTCCCGCAGCCGTGGATTGGGCACGTGAGATATACGAGGCTTCCGTCTGAGGGTCGCTTCCACAATGCTCGCCCGGATGGGTCGTGGGCTGCTGGTCGGCCGTGGCGTTCGCCCCATGCCTCTACGTTTTTGATGGTGTATTTTTGCTTGCGGCGGATGGAGCCCGCGCTGTGTATTTGGTCGTGGGGAAGCATTGTGTGTTGATGCTGAGATGGTGGGGGAGGCGGGGGAGCTTGATGATGAGGTTGAGCGTGCATATGGGGTGGCGGCATTGAGGGTGGTGGTGCCTGTGATGAAGGTGGAAGAGGTGCTTGACGGGGCTCGGGGGGACTCTGTTGCTTGAAGAAAGCCAATGTTGTTGCTGCACTGGTCTCTGATAATCGGCGAGGTGGTGTAGGCCGTAGAGGCGGCGAGTCGCTCACAGCGTTGAGCCCCAGGCCCATGGACTCTCTCTTTAACTTCTTGCGTTGTCTTCGAAGGTCCTATGAAGCTTGTTTTAGAACTATAATTCCCTAACTGGGTATCAAGATCCGGCTTACCTCTTCCTCTGCTTCGGCTCTCTCCGTCATTGACCGAAATTCCTCGTCTTCATGCTTGCGCATTGCCAGAATGCGACTCCGGGTTGCATTCCGGGCCATTTCCTCGTGTTCTAGATGCCGGAGTCGGGCTTCGATATGTTCCAAAGAAACTGGACTGTGTACTGGTGGCACTCCTTGGGGATGATGTTCATGCATGGGCGGTGCGAAATGACGGAAATGGTGGCTCTGCACCATCTGCTCCGGGGGTGGCATTTGGTGTGGAGGCGGATTCGGATTCATGGCAATAGGATGATAGCGAGGAAGATGGTTGACGAGATGGCCGGGTATACCACTATCGGGGCCAGAGTGATGTACCGGCTGTGCAGTTGTCATTGCTATGGATGGAGGTACTCGATGTTATACAGTTTTTGAACCCTCCTGCACCAAAGAAGAAGAGAATACGGAGTATGAAGAAGTCAAAAAGGGAAAGGGAACTAAAGAGAAAAGAAAACAGGATGAGACAATCGAAAGGGAAGACCCATCTCCGATCTATGGGTCGACGGTTTGGAAAGGATTGACATTCAGACCTTCTGGAGCTAACTACTTTGTATAATCTGTGTATAATAAAAAAAATATATAAAAATAAAAACAAGAAAAATTAAAAATGAAAAAATGAAAATGTCAAATAAGATAATTAAATACAATATATAATAATACTAATAATATAATAATAGAAAATAAGAAATGACTCTTCCACTAGCGCGACCCTTCTGCACCCCCGTTATCTTGAAAAATTCCCGTAACGGCGTAAGGGGATCGTCTCAGGGGATCTCGATTGTGATTGATCGTAGACTTTTGTAGTACGGAGTACCTCTGATGGGTTTTATTGAATAGAATATTGAATAGAGTGTGTAATCAAGAATAGCTTCAAATATAACCTAATATACTAATAGACTAATATATACTAACTAGTTAACATACTAATATACAATGGATGTTGTACAATATACAAATAGAATCCGAAAAGAATGTTTTTTAATTTCCCAGAGTGGTCGATGGACCACTCATCCATGGAATTGGCACGACGCTAGTCCATGTAATCAAATCACAATCAGCCCTGGAGAGCCCTAAGGTTCATTTCCTTTGGATCAGAATGGACCCTAATCTACCGGACCAATGATCGGCGTTTCCAACCTGAAAGAAAAAAGGGAAAAATAAACCAAAAAAGGAAAAGAAAAAGAAAAAAATAAATAGTCACTTGACATCTCCTTCAGGGGGAAGAATAAGAGTCTAAAGGTGACAAGTCTAAAAATTCTGACTGCAGTCACCCTATCAGCGTCATTGATCTGAGACTATAATTTCCAGAAGTAATATATGTAAAAGGGTTATTACTCGGGATTCAATAATACTTTCAATAATCTTAATCTTAATACCCTTTCCCCGGAGAAAAAGTAGGAGTAAAGTACCTTATTAGAGTATGTTGTATATTATCAAGCACTATGTCTTTACCTCTTGGCCCTAAAACAAAGCTAAACTCGATAGTCGAAGCATCGAATCAGAGCCTCTGCGATTGAATTTTTTTTTTCCCATCTGCCAACTACTTTATTCCGGGATTACCATCCAATAATAAGCAACAGATCTACCCCATTCCTGCCAAGGGTGTGTTCATCCTGGAGATCATTATGTAACACAGGAGAACTTGTTCCTGACAAGTTCCATGGTAGCCATAGAAGCGGGAAGAATCGCGATGGATCTTGAAATGTCTTCCACACTTATAGTGATACCCATGTACTCCGTTCTTGGTACACTATCATCCTTGTCTGGTACATTACTCTCCACACATTATTGTTTAGTGGAATCAATCTATTTGATTTGTTATATATCTTTTTTTAATTAGAGCTACCCCAGTCTCAGTACTCCCGACTCCTTATGTTATATGTTGTATATATTCCGTACAATCAACAATAACAAATACATTTAGCCATGGAATATTTTCAAAGCCCAGGGATTAGAAATCAAGAAAATGCCCACATATTTAGTGCCCCCGAACTGTACATCGTAGACCCAGAATATGGGTCTTGTATGGATTTTCTGCTCAAGTGACTTAGTAGGGCTATGGGTCTGCAGCAAACGCCAGGACTCAACTTGTAAAGGGAAAGAAGAGCCCTAGCACTAGAACAAGGAAAGAGAAAGAAAAAAAAAAACACACCATGTCAACAAAGTGGAGAATGGAAATACTAATCATACATACTAGGGGCACGCTAACGCAGATGGTCTCACTCAAGAAGTGATCGACGAATAGTCGAGGGGCCAGTTATGTGGGCGTTTGAAAATTTTCTACTCCGTACTTGCACCGGGATTTAATTTAAGAGACGTCTTACTCTTCAAGATGTTGATCACTACTTTACAATATTGAATCTAGCACTAATAGTGGTTATATTTATAAATCTTAAAGGACAATATGAAGTACGATATTGTATCAGTCATCTCTGTCTCCCCCTGTCTATTTCAAATGTTCTGCATTGAACCCCCACAAAGCCTCGTATATATAATCTTATTATTTATAAATAATTCCTATTAACACACATCATTATAAAAGACCCACTGTGGCAGCCCGACTGGTGTGTACAACAATGATTTGCTACTCGACTGCACTGCTGCAGGGAAGCCTGCACAATTACTTCGCTCTGTCACCACCGGCTCGAGTTCAGATTGGCCAGGTGGCAAAACGTTGCTTTTCTCGTGTTCTTGTTTAATTTAAGGCGAACTCTTGTTTCTACCTTTGTTTCTATGAAGATACAAAATATCAATGGCAATTGTCATAGATTAACCATGCACTGTTAAGGTTAAGGGGGGCACAAGGGACACACAATAAAAGCGTGCAGAAACCTACCTTTTACCTTCATCAAGGTATATTGTACCTAGTTAACCCCATTATAAACCTCCCTTCTCATTCCTTCTACAATCCTAGT